CTATAGGTAGAACCAGAAGACCTCCTATGGGAAATGAAATGTTATCGCAGACGGGACGTCAGGGGACTAGACAAAAGCGAATGGTGGAAGAGAGCGCACATCAAAATGACGGGGACGTGTACGGAGAGCCTTTCGGAGCAAGGGAAACTAATCGACCGTCTCGTTGCCTCGGTGACACGCCAGTTGTCGAACAATCCTGCAACACGTCGGAAAAAAATTATGAAATACGAAAGGAAATAATTGATTTGCTGTTAAAAACCGGTGGCTCTGCTGACAATACGTTTTTAAAAGGTAGAAAACGAAAACAACGAGAAATCGAAATTTTAATACGTATGTACCCGACATGTCCGATAAACGCGGTTAACAAAACAATCGAATTTATAAATAATAACCACACTAAGTATATTAACGGAAATGATCGCGATCTTATTGTAATAGTTAAAAATTGGGCTATAATATTGAATCAATGGAGCGTTCAACAATTTTGGGACTATTATTGTTCACCTGGTGTTCGACCGTATTTCAATCTTTACGCGTTTACAAATTGTAAATCTTCTTTTTATTATACACCGGAGGAATCTCTCGATATAGCCGTCGAACTGTTAGTGTATCAGTTCGACGACGATTTCGAGAGAATACATAAATTTATTTACGATTTGTACGATGTGGTCGAAAAGAACGTTCCAAAACGCAACACATTATCGGTACTGTCTCCTCCTAATGCCGGGAAGAACTTTTTTTTTGACGCCGTCTGCTCCTATTTTTTAAATTATGGCATAATTTCTACGCTAAACAAACATTCACCGTTTGGTTATCAGGACATGGATAACAGGCGGTTAGTGTTGTGGAACGAACCCAATTACGAATCGAACGAAACGGAAACATTGAAAATGTTGTTGGGTGGAGACAGTGCCAAAATACGCGTTAAATATATGGGAGATCAAGATATTCAGGGCCCACCAATAATAATTTTAACTAATCATTTTATACCGTTGTTTTCCGATCCTGCCTTTGAAAGTCGTATATGTCAGTATGAGTGGAAAGCTGCGCCTTTCCTAAAACAATATAAGGGAAAATTAAATCCCAAAATGTTTTATTTGTTATTGGAAAAATTTAAAATTTTATAAATAAAAACAAAAATTTTATAGTAATTATGGTTTTTTATTTTTCAATAAGTTATACATAGGATTATATTTTCCTTTTTTATTTATATAATTATATTTATCAGCTAATTGGTCTCCATTCTGTACTCCTACAAAATACATGGACATTATTTTGTTCACTTCTTCCTGAGTAGCTCTCCTATCTTCTTTTTCTAATCTTACGCTTTTCCACTGATTGTCCGTCAGTATTCCTCCAAATCTAAGGGCACCGTTTCCTAATCCGGAATAATAATAATAATAAAAATAATCCGGAACAGGTGGCAACAACTCCTCTGCGCTTTTAGCTGCCGGTGTAGCCGTAGTGGTAGTAGACAATACGGATTGTGGTGCATCGCTACTAGGTTTAACACTAGACGTGGACTGTGTACTTAATGTTGACGGTAAAGACGTCGTACTGGATGACGGTAGGTTTTTTTTTTNACTGGATGACGGTAGGTTTTATTTTTTGGCGGCCAAATTTTCTCTTACAGTATCGAAAACGTCCGCCGCAATTAGTTTTCCGCATCTATTGTTTTTAAAGAATGTTTACCGTAGCACGTAGAGTAATTCCCGTCGGCTTCGGCTACACCAGCGTCCACAGCCATTGTAAACATTTCTTTTTCAATGTCCACGTTACAGTCTTTAAATCGAGCCATAACAGTAGGATACCCAAACTTAACAATACACGTTGTTTCAATTGTATAATAAGCTTCTACATCTAAAAATTTTGTAGGTACAATCGTATTATCCTTTGCCGTAATTTTCGGTACGGGATAAACGCCAACGTGCAATGAAGGTTGAGCTTCTGATGGTGTATAATTTTTATTTTTTTTGACTAGTACATGAGACAAGTCTATTAATGATATGTGACGGCTGGAATCGACATAAGTCCAACTTTTCATTTGATCATGAACTGAAGCAATATTCATAGTTTTACTGTCTATGTTAGTTGAACTGTATTTATCTCTTTTTATTTTGAGTATAGCAGAACCGTTTGGACAAAAATAATCGGCTTGTTGACACTGAAAATAATTACTATTGCTAGTATCGGGCCAATAATATGTCTGATAACTGTTGAGTGGTCGTTTAAGTAAACCTATTTTAGGACTGTATTCATAATTGACAATGACTGTGCCTACGGCCGCATTCGCATCAAATTTCGTTATGTATCTATTAAAGCGAGGCCACTGATATCCACTTTGAACTCCGGTGTCCGTGTACAATGTAAAATAATTTTGCAATACAGTCGGTAAATTCATGAAACTACAGGGTAACGTATCTTGAGGTTTACTTGTACTTGAATACCATGCATCGTGTTGTTTATTATATGTATCTGGCGCTGAATCTTTGACGTCCTGTGGTTCCATGGAATTAGAAGCGACGGTAGTGTATTTTTTTGTTACGCCGGGAACTGTTTTATTCAATCCAATAGCGTACACTCCCCATTTATTTTGATTTAATGTGGCCAATTCTGATTGTGTTGTAGCGGTTTCGTATGCGGTTCGGATTCCGCGTAATATAACTTTACACAATACTTTTTCTATATAACTACCTGGGGGCAATATTTTAATTTCGTCGGCAGTGAGGTATAAATGACATCGGTCAACCGGAATTTCCGCTAATGACGTTGTGCCCCAAAATGCGTTTCCAGTATGTTTAATAGGTTTCCATTGTAGTCCATATGATAAAAACTCATGATTTTTAGAAAAAACCAGGTACTTATTTTTTGTATCATCGAGGGGTCTAGGGATGACCATGTGTAACATACTGACAGCAGCAGCGTCACCAGCGTCAGCGTTAGGACCGATGCCCGGAATACTCGTGCCGGCAGTGAGCGCTTCTGCCGTTCCAATATTCGATTTTTTTGCTGAAGTTCCTCCAGTATCGAGACCAGCTTGTTCATCAGTTCGTTTGTCGCCACCTCCTGCTGCTCGCTCTGCTCCTGACATTGTTCTTTCGGTATTCTCTTCCACATGTGACGTCGATGACAAGTCTAATAAAAAAAACGAAAATTTTTGAAAAATTGAAAAATGAAAAAGCTCAAAGTTTTATATAAAAGTTCAAAAAAGTTCAAAGTTCAACTTTTTATTATTGTAAAATTAAGCTATTGTCAAGGCCTTTCACGTGTAGACGTACGAAGTCTCTAAGTTAAAAACTCTATTTTCTACGATTTTTCAAAGATTTTGGTGCACAATATGAAAATCAACGTACNTGAAAAATGAAAAAGCTCAAAGTTTTATATAAAAGTTCAAAGTTCAAGTTTTTTTATTGTAAAATTAAGCTATTGTCAAGGCCTTTCACGTGTAGACGTACGAAATCTCTAAGTTAAAAACTCCATTTTCTACGATTTTTCAAAGATTTTGGTGCACAATATGAAAATCAACGTACTATCCGACTAGTGCATATCACCTACGTTTTTTTGGACGATTTTACAACAAAATTTTTTTTTTGCTTAAAACTTACAGAAAACACTCGGGATGCCTAAATATACGTAAATAACTCATTTTTGTGCAGTTTTAGACAAAAAAGTTCAAAGTTCAAAAAAAGTTTAAACTTTCAAAAAAAGCTTATTTATTAAAAATAGCGTTATACAGTACCTTTACGTCTTGTTTTGGCGTTAGTAAACCAATCTATAGGATGAACAAGCTTTTCTGAATTAGGATATAGAGCTTTTGAATTTCCGGTTATTCCTTGCCAAGTTCTTTCCAAAAAATGTTTTGCATACAGGCCAAGAAACGTTGCGTATTTACCGCGGAAATTAGAATTTTTAACGTTCAATGACCGATTAGCCGCTTGCAGGTCGTAATTTCCTATTTCTTCAATGTTACCTGAACCTGCATTGTGATATTGTACGTCGTGTTCTAAAGCTATCCAGTCTATCTCGTTTGTTGGCAGGCTTTCAGCAATAAATTCGTTTTTTTCATTTGCAACTTTATTACCTGGTCCCGAGAAATCGTGTCCTAACCACGTCAAACCACCGTTTTTCCCCGTATTTTGTTTGTTAATGTAGTCACGATACGTGCCAAGTGCAGTAGTATACACTTGCATTATGCAAAATTTAATGCGAATACTGACCTTTTATACTAATACACTTCGTATTTTAAAAAGTTGTTTTCCTCAAACTGCGCAATAAAATAATAATACTCGTTTTTAATATTTCTTAGAAATTTACATATGTCATTATTAGCAACTCGTTATTTATTACTACAATAAACTGTTGCCAATAAACGCATTTGCATTAACGAGTGCATTCACCTGCATCAATTAATCATGCTGGATGCTTGCTCAAACCTTCGGTTTCGACGACGACTACATTGACGACAGTGTAGTGTACATACACTACCACAGGTGGCGGTATGGGCGGAGTGACCGATCAGCCAACTGATGCTCTGGGCGGCAACACTACACTGGCTGATCGGTCACTCCGATATCATTATTATCAATATTAATCATTTAAAATCGTTAAATAAATTTTAAACATACTGGACAAGCACAAATCCAATTTTCTATCTCATTGTTTATACCTGGATAGTAAAATAATTGTTTTGCTCTAACTTTTGTTTTACTTATACCAAAATTTGGTTCATGAAGCTTTTTAATTATATATTGTCTTGTAACCTTAGGAATAACTAGTCGACTACCATAATAAATTAATCCATTCTCCAAGTATATTTAATTTCTCAATTTCCAATAATGTTTGAGTTCACCCTCACACTTAACCTTAAGCCAACCTTTTTTACAAAATTCCATAATTTGTTTTAACACCTCATCATTTCCAGTATTTCTCTTAAACTCATCCTCCTTATCATNATATTTCTCTTAAACTTGTCATAACACAGTAAAAAAGATAAAGGTAAAAGCGTAAATGTGCAACTATGTGTACGAAGATGAATATGAGGAGGTGGTGCCTGCTGTCTAGGTATTCACGTGCGTGTTGTCGTACAGCAGTCACCGTGCTCGGCTGACACTCCGGGTTAGCTGTGGGTGTCGAAAGGCTGTTGTTATAGGAAGGGAGAATAAGAGTAACACCTAGGTATGAGGTGCAGACGAAGTGCAAGACACAAATACCAGGTGTACGCAAAAGGAGCCCAAAGTATGAGGTGCAGACGAAGTGCAAGACACAAATACTTGGGGTATAGGAGAGGACAATGAAGTACGAGGTGCAGACGAAGTGCAAGACACAAGTACTTCAAAGAGAGAACGGGGTAGCCGAGTATAAGGTGCAGACGAAGTGCAAGACACAAATACTGGGCGTACCAGATAAGGAGTATAACAAAGTACGAGGTGCAGACGAAGTGCAAGACACAAGTACTTTAGTTATTAGGAGAGGATAATGAAGTACGAGGTGCAGACGAAGTGCAAGACACAAGTACTTCAAAGAGAGAACGGGGTAGCCGAGTATAAGGTGCAGACGAAGTGCAAGACACAAATACTGGGCGTACCAGATAAGGAGTATAACAAAGTACGAGGTGCAGACGAAGTGCAAGACACAAGTACTTTAGTTATTAGGAGAGGATAATGAAGTACGAGGTGCAGACGAAGTGCAAGACACAAGTACTTCAGAGAGAGAACGGGGTAGCCGAGTATAAGGTGCAGACGAAGTGCAAGACACAAATACTAGGCGTACCAGGTGAGGAAAGATAACAGAGTACGAGGTGCAGACGAAGTGCAAGACACAAGTACTCTGAAATGTCGAGGAAAAGAGTATATAGGTTAGAAAAGGAATAAACAAAAACTTTACTTTAAACAGTAAGCCGGACAGCGACAACCGAGTACTGAGACTGATGAATGACACAAGGCACTAGAGTCGACTGACCACAATGGTCAGGTCTATTGGGTTTTTATAATAATTACAACTATTGCCGATTTGGCAATAAATATTATTTGTTAATTCATCAGTCTCGGGCAGCGGATGTGCTGTCTGTATTTTATTAAAATAATTCTCACGATTATGAAAACGTGACACCATCACAAACTCATCCTCCTTATCATTTGAAAAATTAATTTGTATTTCACTAATTGCATGAACTACATCATTTACTATCGTTTCACCGGTTACATTTCTTTTAATATAATTCCTGCTTAACAAACCAGCTACATACATTTCTCTACCTGGGAGATATTTCACCTCAATATCATACAACATACATTTCATTCGTAATCTCCTTATTCGATTATTGGGAATTTTGTTCAGTTCTTTTAACATATTTGAAACAAGAGGTAGGTGATCAGTAAACACAGTCACTTTTCTTCCATAAATCAATGAAAGAAACTTAGTACATGCAAAAGAAATAGCAAGCATTTCTTTTTCTATTTGAGCATATGTTTTCTCAATTACACTCAGACATTTTGCCGCTTGTTTTGGAAAATACAACAGCCCAAAGCCCCCTCAGACGCATCACATTGTATTTCTAGGCTTGATTGTTATTAAAATTAGCTAATATTGTCACATTACATAGACTCTCCTTCAAATGACAAAATGCCCTTTCACATTCAACACTCAAATTCCACAAAACATTCTTTTTTAGAAGCTCTTTAAAAGGTTTTAATCGTTCCGATAAATTAGGTAAAAATGCTCTTAAATAATTTATCATTCCTAAGAATGATTGGAGTTGTTTTTTATTTATAGGAGTTGTTAACTCTTGTATAGACTGAATTTTATCACAATCAGGTTTTACTCCCTTTTTATTAAAAATAAATCCTAAAAATTTAACTTCATTAGTTATATATTGTAATTTTTTTGAATTAAACTTAATATTATATTTTCGAGCTCTTTCCAATACTCTACAAATAATTTTATCATGTTCCTCTCTAGAACTAGCACACACTAATAAATCATCAAAATATATTAATACTCCTGGAATATCACCAAAATATTTCATCATTAGTTTTTGAAAAATCTCTGGTGCCATTGACAAACCAAATGGTAAACGCTTAAAACTATATGATCCAAAAGGACTACTAAAAGTACACAACTTAANTAAGAACTACTAAAAGTACACAACTTAACAGATTCAGAATCTAATTCACAATGATAAAAACCCTCTTTTAAATCAAACAGACTATAAATACTTTTATTACTAAGGACAGATCTCATATCATCCAATAGGGGTATTTGATACATTTCCCTTACCACATATTTATTAATTTCTCTTGGATCTAAACATAATCTGAGAGATTTATCAGGCTTTTCAATAATTACTAAATTACTTTGCCACTCACTTGGTTCACTGCTTTCTTGAATAATATCTAGTTTAATCATTCTATCTAGTTGCTCTTTTAACTTAACCATTAATTTATTTGGAACTTTCCTAGGTGGATTACATTTGGGTATAACACTATCAACTAATTTAATATTTATTTTATCAGGAAATTTCTCTATACCTTCAAAAACATCCTTATTTTTAGAAATAAAATTTTCCTTTATATTATCCCTAATAATAGTTTCAATCTCATTCACATCTTTTAGCTTCGATGCGAAGCGGAGAAGGTATTAATTTTACTATGATGTGTTTTTTTGGGCACATTGAAAAGATACGGAGAAAAGTAGAAAGAGTGTTTATGCCAGATGAATATGAAAAAATGGTTTCAGAAACAAATAAAAAATTTAAAGTTGTTCATGTTGATCAAAGTATGATTTTTGATTTTACTAGTTATTTATCTCTATTAGCTAAAAAAATTGTAACCAATAAAGAGAAAATAAAATTTACTATTATGACTTACCGATATGTCGAATATACAATTAAAGGTATTTTTTGTAGTACATCTGGAAATTCTACTGTTAAAGAAAAATACACTTTAAATAAGACTGGTGAAGAACTAACTATAAATGAAAATGGACTATTAAGATTGTACAATGAACCTATTAAACTGAAACTGTCAAAATTCAATGATGTTACTCAGTTAGCAAACAAATATGTGCCTCAAGAATACCTATGGTTTTATATTGGACTTAGTGCTGCTGAAGAAGTGAATATCAATAATAATGATGGTTCTGATTATGAAAATTGAACACAATACCCAGTTAATCATATTTTGTAAGTTTTTATACCTACCTAACTAAATCAAATTTCATAAATGTTATTCATTTTTATATTTTACATTTTGAAATTAATTGTATATTTTTTATTTTCGTTTTTATTAGCCTAATATTCAACAATACTGTATACTTATTATACTATAATTAACTTATTAATATTAATACAAAGTATTACCTATTAATATTATGTTTTATTAAGTTTTTATTATTACTAAGAGTTGAAATATTATGTTTTAGCTTCGATGCGAAGCGGAGAAGGTATTAATTTTACTATGATGTGTTTTTTTTTTTTTTTTTTTTTTTTTNCGCAAATGGCTACCATATTGAAAAATATACTATTTTTGTATGATAATTATGGGTTTTGTATTTTATTTTAATAGAAGTTGATGTTGCTTTTGCAATTATCCATCAATTTTTTAAAATTAAACACTATCTACAGATTTGCATCGAATCGTTTCTTATGATAGTGATTTTAATCACTATCAGATTAAATCTATACTGGACCCTACTATGCAATGTCTCCACTATGCCGCGACCCCACTGTGCTATCGTTTTTTTTTTGTTTTTGGTTTGTCATATTGTTACTAAGAAAAGTAATATACTATTTTAAAAATGTTATAATATGTAATTCATTTTATTTTTTATTGTTAAATTTTTTAAAATATTATGTTTTTTTATGTATTTAGGAAAACAAAAAGTTATTATGTTATTTATTTTGATGTTTAAGATTAATGTTACAAGGTGATTTATATTTTTTTTTATTTTTTGTTAAAATGGTAATATAAATATTATAAAAAAAGTCTATGTTATTATTTAATACTCTTCTTAAAGTAATTAAAAAAGTTATAGGTACTTAATAAATTATAACTCTAGTAAAATATGTAATACAATATTTCAAAAAATAATAAATTGATAAATATAATATGGACAGTAATAATATAGAATATAAGTACATTAGTTGATGGTTAAACTTGGAAAACGATAATTATTATTTAGTTTTTGGAAAACCTTATAGCGTACCTTATTAAATACATGTTTACAAGCAAAAACCAGGTAAGTCCATATATTTTATACTTGAATACTAATTTTATCAAATTTAATTTGTTTACTTTATTGAATAGTATTATAATTATTTATAAAACTGTCAATAAAGCATATTTACTATAGTTTATAAGAAATTTAGTAAATTAGTTTATAGTATAATACAAAACACAATAAATTTTGGGAAAGTTTTTTACAACTAATGAGCAAAAAACCAGGTAAGTCCATATGTTACATACTTTCAAGCTATTTTAGAAGATCAAAAATTTATTTAAAATGAAATTTGACTTCACTCAACTATTTACAAGTCATTCAAGATACTTAAGTCGTATTAACAAATAAAAATATAAAATTTTAAAGTTTTGGTGAAATAAAACATGTCCCCTGAACAATTTTAAAAGGTGGACTTGTCTTGTTGTTGCACGGAGCCCTTCAATTGTTACTGATGGAGCTGTGAATATTAGTAAAGCTGTTGGCTTATTTTTTGAAAATCCAATTAACAAACATCACATACCATGCTTCGCACACAAACTAAATTTGGTAACTCAAAATGCCATTTCTAGTGTCACTGATTTAAGTATACTTATTAATAAAGTTAAATCTATTATTACATGGTTTAAACACTCAGCAGTAGCTGCTAGTGATGAACTAAGATAAGTTTCCAATAGTAAACTTATTCAAGAAGTTCCAACTAGATGGAATAGTGTTGCAGTGGTAACACTGCTATTATAATGTTCGTAGTGTGATTATAATATAAGCTGTTGTCGTTTTATAAAAATGATTACAAAGTGCTCTCTTGTATTTAAAATATATATAATTTCTATTTAATTTTAAATTAGTTTTTAATTATACATTGATATTAAAGACTAAAATAAAACATGGCGCAGTTGGTTCAAAAAAAAGAACATAACTAAATAAAAAATTTAAATATAAAGTTTTGTGGATTAAAGTGGATGCAAAATGGAATTCAACAAACCGGAACCGTTGAAATTAACTGGAAATTTGATTGAAAATTTCAAGATATTTAAATAGGAATTCCAAATATATTATAATGCAACTGAATGTTCCTCGAAAAAAGAAGAAACTCAGGCAGCGATTCTGTTGAACTTAATTGGAACAGACTGAATAAAAGTGTATAATACACTTAAAATTAAATCTGAAACAGGAAGTGAAATATTAAAAGCATTGGAAAATTATTGCATCCCAAGAAAAAAAGAAATCATGGAGCATTATAAATTTTTTTCGCGTAAGCAAGGAGCGTAAGAGCCATTTGACAATTTTTATACAGATTTAAGAAAATTGATCAAAACATGTGGTTTGGAGACTTGTGAAGATAAATTGTTACGAACACAAATTGTGTTAGGAATACTCAACAAAGACGTCCAGGCTAGTTTGTTGAGAGAGGACCTGTCACTCGATAAAGTAGTCAATCACTGCCGGGCAGCGGAACAGATGGAAATCAATAGAAAAACAATATAAGAAGAAAGCACCAGGTCATTATTCAACATTGAAACAAATCAAAAGGAGTGTCATGGAACAGTTTCATATGGTCAGTCAGCACAGGAATCAAATTCAAAATCAGGTTTTAAAAATAATAGTATGTTGTCTAAAAAAATTAGTAATANGTTTTAAAAATAATTTATAAAAAAAATAAAAAATTATTTATAGTAAAAAACAAGTAAATAGTTTTGTAAATAGTAAATAGTGGAGACATTGCATAGTAGGGTCCAGTATAGATTTAATCTGACAGTGATTAAAATCACTATCATAAGAAACGATTCGATGCAAATCTGTAGATAGTGTTTAATTTTAAAAAATTGATGGATAATTGCAAAAGCAACATCAACTTCTATTAAAATAAAATACAAAACCCATAATTATCATACAAAAATAGTATATTTTTCAATATGGTACCCATTTGCGTATAGAAGATAGATCGTCGGGACAAATTTTTTTTTTTCATTTTGTAGTACATAAAATAAGCTTTAATTTTATATATGTTTAAAGGACGCAGTATTTCCGGAACATTTTCAAAAATTAAGTTGAAAAAGTTATTTTTTGTAAAAAAGTTACTATTTTAAATCCTCCCAGTGAGCAGAATAAGTGTTAGATTTTCAAAAAAAATTATATCAAATGAAAGGGAAATATCTAAGGTTTCAATACAAAAAAATATTATTTTTATTTGTTCATTTTTGAAAAAGTTATGGCAGTTTTAAGTACAAAAAACATCCCGATAAAATGTAATTTTTATCGCAAACATTACATTTTTTTTTAAATTTTCGACAGCCATTTGCACATAGAAGATAAGATGTCGGGACAAATTTTTTTTTTCATTTGATAGTATATAACATGGGTAGCCACTAACCTTTACTCAGAGAGCCACAAATTTATGAAGCTGTTTTAAGGCGAGCCACATTGTTTGGAGATGAATTTATGGTTAATAACTTAAAGACACTTTTTAATTTTAAAAGAAGAAACATTTATTGTACTCTACTTATTTATAACATTCAATGTTAACTTAATGTTCAATTGCTTTTACGAGTGTTCATTTTAGCTGTGAGTTGTTTGAAGTTTGGTTTATAATTGGTAAGCGCAGTTCGCACGAGTTCACTCAAGTGTTCATCAGTTAGTTCAGATCGATATTTAGATTTAATGAACTTAAGTGTTGAGTACAGTGATTCACACACATATGTAGTGCCAAATATTGAGATTAGTCTCTTTGCACACAATTTTGTTAGAGGGTATTTTTCTTCTGGAACTTTCTTCCAAAAATCTATAGCTGAAATGCCACTTCGTTTTAGTCCTTTCAGCCCTTCATCCTCTTGTAATTCTAGTATCTCCAACTCTACAGCTGCTGTATCATTTGTAATTGGTGATGAAACAGGACAGCCGTCGTCCACATCATCAACACCAAATGGGTTTTCCAAGAATGAAAATGAAGGCTTGAGCATTCTCAAATCATTAAATCTGCCATTGATTTCTTCAGCAAGACCAGATAATTTACATAAATAATCTTCAGTTTCAACTTGAACATCAGGATTGCTTTCAATAATTTTCTTCAAACATTTGAAGTGAGCAAATGTCTTAGTCTCAAGATCTTTCCGAAAGAGCCTTAACTTGCTATGAAAGCTAAATACACTCTGCGCTAAGTCAGAAATAAGTTTTTCTCTTCCTTGTAGTGATATGTTTAGGGTTTGTAAATGCTGAACCACATCTGTAAAAAAAGCCAAATCTAACAACCACTGGGGGTCATCAAGTTCTGGGAAAGATTTTTCTTTTTCTCGCATAAACTGTTTTATTGGATCAAGTAATTGAAAAAATCGGTCAAGAACATTGCTTACTGATAGCCATCTAACTAAACAGTACCATGATACATCATCAGGAAGCTCGTCATTGTCCAAGCCCTCTAAGAAGGATTTGAACTGTCGGTGTGTCTTAGCACTTGATCGAATGTAGTTAACAATTTTTAAAACTACCTGCATAATCTGGGGATATTGAAAATACTTTGCAGCTAAATGTTCCCTGTGAATAATGCAATGTACAGGTAGGAAATCAGGGTATGATGTATCCTCATTTAAAAGCCCAATAAGCCCTTGTTTCTTACCTGCCATAGCTGGTCCACGTCGGTAGCAATGCTAACAATACTACCTTTAGGCACAGAGTTCTTCAATAAAACACCATCCAGGGCTTCTTTAATATCACAACCACGAGTAGTAACATTCAATGTAACCAGGTCTAACAGTTCTTCCTCAACCTCCAAGTCTTTTGTCACGTACCTTACAAATATGGCTAACTGGGATTTATCTTTGACATCTGTAGATTCGTCCAAAGCGAGACTAATTGCTGAGCACTCACTTAAATTTTGTTGTAAATTGCCAAGAATATCGCCACTAATAACAGAAATTCGCCTCTCTATTGTATGTCTAGCAGCAGGCATTTGGTCTATCAATTTCTGCAATTTTTTATTTTCAGGGTCTAAAATAGAAACAACTTGTGACATATTCTTTTTAATAAACTCTCCCTCTGTGTAAGGCTTCTTTGCTTTTGCAATATTAAAAGCCAAAACTAAGCCAGCCTCAGTTGTCAAATCTGCTTCTTTTGTAAACATTGACATAACCCTGCTCTGACAATCAAGTTTTTCCTTTAAGGATTTTAATTTAGTTTTCCTTAACTGAGAACCAATAGGNAGTTATGACAATCAAGTTTTTCCTTTAAGGATTTTAATTTAGTTTTCCTTAACTGAGAACCAATAGGAAAATCTTTACAGAAACCACCGTGGTTAGTATCATGATGGCGTTTTAAATTACTGGCTTTGAACTGTGACAAAGTGGTTTGACACAAGAGACACATTGGCTTACAGTTTCTTTCAACAAAAACGAATTCTTCCTCCTAGTCTGTATTAAAAACTCGATTCTCCTCTTCATATTTACGCTTCTTAGACAGCATTGTAATGTAACTATTTCAACACTAGCACTTACACAACTGAACTCAAAACAGCAACACAGCACAAACAAAAATAATGTTACTAGCTACAGCGTATGTAAGCAGCGGTAGTGCGACTGGCTACTGAGTACTGACTGACACTGATTGTCGTGACTCGTGATGCCACTACGTCAGAATGTACTCGTACACCGTTGCCATATCGACACATAGTTTGGTGTGTATGCAGTGTTGCCAAGTCTACAAAAAAGACTTGTCAAAACAAATGTTGAGTTTTGTAAAGCTTAAAAGACTTTCAACCTGTACATTGCATTATTATATTGTTTTAAATCAGTAATATTTTTACTCTGAACTCAGGTTCGAGAGCCGCACCAGATTAACTCAAGAGCCGCATGTGGCTCGCGAGCCTCGTTGTGGCCACCCCTGGTATATAACATAATCTTTGATTTGATATATGTTTAAAGGACGCAGTATTTCCGGAACATTTTCAAAAGTTCAGTTCAAAAAGATCTATGTTTTTTACAATATTTTAAGTTTTGAACGCCCCCTATATAAGGGGAAATTGTCCAATTTTAATAAAAAGTATGTCAAATGAAAGATGTACTTATAATGTATTTAGAAAAAAAAATTTGTGCTGATATATACATTTTTCAAAAAGTTATAGCATTTTTAAGTTGAAAATTTAAAATCGAAAATCGAAAATTTTAACACAAAAATAGTGTTTTTTTAACTACGGCAGCCGTTTAAATGTAGAAAAAAAAGTGTCGGGACAAATTTTTTTTTTTCATTTTGTAGTACATAAAATAAGCTTTAATTTGATATATGTTTAAAGGACGCAGTATTTCCGGAACATTTTCAAAAATTAAGTTGAAAAAGTTATTTTTTGTAAAAAAGTTACTATTTTAAATCCTCCCAGTGAGCAGAATAAGTGTTAGATTTTCAAAAAAAATTATATCAAATGAAAGGGAAATATCTAAGGTTTCAATACAAAAAAATATTATTTTTATTTGTTCATTTTTGAAAAAGTTATGGCAGTTTTAAGTACAAAAAACATCCCGATAAAATGTAATTTTTATCGCAAACATTACATTTTTTTTTAAATTTTCGACAGCCATTTGCACATAGAAGATAAGATGTCGGGACAAATTTTTTTTTTTCATTTGATAGTATATAACATAACCTTTGATTTGATATATGTTTAAAGGACGCAGTATTTCCGGAACATTTTCAAAAGTTCAGTTGAAAAAGATCTATGTTTTTTACAATATTTTAAGTTTTGAACGCCCCCTATATAAGGGGAAATTGTCCAATTTTAATAAAAAGTATGTCAAATGAAAGATGTACTTATAATGTATTTAGAAAAAAAAATTTGTGCTGATATATACATTTTTCACACTGGGATAATATTTAAACCACTTTTTATCTCATATTTTACAGAACATGTTTTACTTGGTCGACTACCATCTCTTTTCCTTTGACGAATAACAGGTTTGACCCTAATTAATCCACCCAAATATGTATCTTGTTTGTTCTTATCACTTATATTATTAAATGTTACAAGTAAATTTAATTTTTGGTCATCCAATACATTAGTAAAACATTTTTGACGACAGTGACAGTCGGGGCCTGTAGTTCTAGGAGGAACAATAATTGTTTTGTCACGCAGAGAATTATATCCAATACCTTCAGACCTACAATTTTTTATAATATTACGTTTNACCTACAATTTTTTATAATATTCGTTTCCAACATGATTTATTTTGTATTCTTTTCTTACCAATACGAATGGATGTAGGTTGATCATCTTCACTGGATTCTGATATAATATTGATTAATCCTAAGGGTGTCGTTGAAAGTGGCTCAAAATGATCATCTGGATCAGAATCTAAACACAGTATGCCACCGAGATCGTCATTTTCAAAAACTGTATAATCTGGATCTTGAATGTCATCATCAAAATTAAATTCAAATGATGACTCAGAGTTAGATTCATCATATTCAAGTTGTTTTGTTATATTATCACAGTTCATTTTAAAATATAATAAAACTAAATAACACTGCCTGTTACAGCAACTAAATAAAAGTAAAAACTATACATTAACATTAATATTTACAATCAGTCTTAATATTTACAACTATAAATGGAAACTAAATTCAAAATATTATCAGTAACATATTTTTACGAATATCTACAAATATATACTATCAATACTAATTTACAGTATAGCCAACAGTTCTGCGCAAAAACCAGACAAGTCCGGACTTACCTGGTTGTTGCTCATAATATCTTATACAAGACAAGTTACTTAATAACTCCGTAAATAATCATTGGACATGTCTCGTTGTTGCACACAATTATAAAGAAAAAGAATCTACATATGATAACATCAAAAAGTGACTTTTGAAAAAAAGTGGACTTGTCTCGTTTTTGCACGGAGCCCTTCAATTGCAGTTATGTTTTCTAAAGAAATGACCCATTGTTTACATATCTCATGTAACGTAAAGATAGCAATATAGTATTTATTTTCATCTTTTAATGATAATATTTTATATTATAAGCCCAATCAATATGTAAAACCAACAGAGTGCAAACCAAATGGATAAACAACCCAGGATTTATCATGGCAAGCCAGAAAATCATTGCACAACACCTCCTACTACCTGCGGTAGTTAAACCACCAAAACGACCAAACAACAGGCCAAACCCAAGCACTGCTCCTTCTGAGCTTCCTGGCCCCATTCATATATACTATATCTCGCATGTTAAACCTAATGAGACAAACCCATGAGATGCCTCTCTTTTAGCTAACATGTTCTTCAGAGAGACAGTACCGAGATAGATCTTCTCGCCGTCTATATTAGCTCTGATCGATTTTTCTCGCTAAACTTACGCTAAGATTACTGATGATGCTGTGTTAACCATAGTCTTATCATTAATAATTTCTTTTTAATTTTGGCAAATATTAGATACTTAGGTTACGAGTAAAGGTTTTATGTCCAGCTAAGCCAAAATCAATGAAAATTGCCAAACATATAAACAATCTAAAACTGCAAATACCTACCTACTCTAATCCTCAGAGTTTAAAAATAAGTTTTTTAAATAACAATTTATATGTACTAATTTATAAATAATAAAATAGGTAATTTATTAAATATATATTTTAATAAAAAAATTTTCGTGGTAATATCCAACAGTAGTCCTTTTTTTCTTTTTTGACAATTCTTATTGACTTTAAAAATATAGTAAAGTTTCATAATTGGAAAAAACATGTATTTTAAATATATAATACTTATTATATTTACCTACCTCTACTTGAAACAACAAACTATACATTCTAGTCAAAGCACCGGTGAAGACGACAAATTGTATTGCATCGAAAGCGAATTAAATCCTACATAAAAACATCCTACGATGGTGTTTGAGAGTTTCTGACGGACATACGAAGCGTGTCACGGGTATGGTGAAAAGCGAGTACAAGTCGCTGAGAGATCAAATCGGTGCCTAATTTTCGTTAATCGAATCAGAATGATTTTTAAATCATTCTAGTATCATCATCAATCTAGTATGTGGTTAGTACGAGCTGTAGGTTGCCAACCCTGGGCTAGGCGAACTACGGTGAAAATTATTGTGGACCTCTCGTAAATATATAGGCCTATACTCTATGATAGGCATAGTCACTTCTAGATAGTTATAATACTATAATAAAACAACTATTAATAATATATCAGCCACAAAACAATAGGTAACATTTTTACGCTAACACAACACTAAATTTCTTTTAAAAAAATGTTAGCACATTTTTGACGGACACATGGTGCAGAATCGCCATTCTGTACGTTCAGTTTCATTAATTTCATGTGAAGAGCTGGTTGATTTATGTACCAACTAATTACATAAGAAAAAAAAATCTACATGGGTACGATATTCAATGAATAAAAATTAATTTGGATCGTCCGAAACAATAATCAGAGAACTGTACGAAAATGACCCTTAGTTTAAAAATTTTAGAGTTGTGATAAGATTGACTCCAGATCAATTTCAAGAAGTGTTGATTTTGATATGCCCAAACGTTACCCGTCAGGATATATTTATGCGTGAAGTTCTACTATCCAACTTGAAGCTAGAGATAACCCTTACGTTTTTAGCTTCAAATACTGTTAAACGTCGGTAGTACTGTGACGTAGATACAAAAAAAAAGTACACAAATGAATCAGTACTTTTAACTTTAAGTTTATCGTTTTGGCTCCCGTTGGGTACACTGGTCAGTCTCAATTTCTCCTATTAGTGAACCACTAAAGGGGTAGTTTTTAATCCTGTAAGCACGGTCTAACTCAAAAGTAGCAGACTTTACCGATTCAAGAACGGTTAAGCCAAAAACTAACTAGCACAAACACTGACTGTTAATATCAACTAAAGCGGAGGTTCTCAAAGTAAATTAAATCACAGACCCTCACCTAAAGATCTACAGTCTTCGAGGACCCCCGGTTGGATTGGGTTGAAATCCAGGCGTAAATTTTTTTTTTTTGCTCATCATTATTTTTTGGAAAACAAGCATAAAAAAAAAAGTCTTCAAAAGAAATATACGCATGGAACACAACCCAACGCATTATGCTAACGATTCTTAGTTTTGCCATATAATGTTATGTGCAGAGACGTATTTAAAGTTTTGACGCTCCAAGTAAAGTTTTATTCCCGCCCTTACTTACTATTACCACAAAAAAATTTGAAAAAATTACATATTTAAAAAAAAATTTATATAATAAAATTATTTATCAAATAAATTCATATTATACACACAACATAACATTATAATTTACACATAGATTTCTTCTATAAAGAAATCTTGTATAATTTAGTTTCAGTCCACGGTGCTTACTCCGATGTCTTTTCTCCTTCATCAGGTGTCCCCCAAGGTGCTGTTCTCTCTCCCCTCCTTTTTGCCTTATTTGTAAATTCTTTCACTTCAATTCTTCATCACGCCAAACTATTGATTTCTGCTGATGATATGAAACTATATTATCGCATTAAATCATTGTCCGATTGTCTTATTCTCCAATCAGATCTTGAATGTTTAGTTATGTGGGGCGGGTCCTTAGGTCTTTCCCTTAACATTAACAAATGCTCCTCAATGACTTTCACGCCAAAGTGACCCTATTTATTTTTCTTATTCGATCCATGACATTCCTCTAAAATTTTCTGGAAATTCTATTCGTGACCTGGGTTTTACCCTTACTTGTACCCTGTGCCCTATAAAACACATAAAAAAAATTCTTGCAAAGTATTGAAAATCCTGGGTTCTGTTTTTCGCATAACCCAGGAGTTACACATGGTTTCTCCCCTTAAATCATTATATTGGGGCCTAGTTCGTCCGATTCTTGAATATGGCTGTGTCCTATGGGGCCCACCTTCTTCTGGTGCCAGTGATATGTTAGAACGTGTGCAGCGTAAGTTCCTACGTTTCGTTTCTTCCAAATTCTCTATCCAACATCCTCCTCATAATTATGCTCTTATTCTTCATTTCCTCAACCTCTTTATTCATGCTGATCAAAGGCATTCTTTCAACCTCTCATTTTTAACAGGTCTTCTCTCGGGTACTATTGATTCCCCAGATTTATTATCCCTCATAAACCTTAAGTTCCTCCTCGCTATACTCGTTCAAATATTGCCTTCCTTATCCCCTATTCTACCATAAACTATCTCCTCAATTCTCCTATAATCCGCATGATGAGAAAAGCTAACACTAACCCATCCTTTATAATGCCGTAGTTTAAGTTTGAGTTACTAGTTCAATATATTTTATAGTTACTCTTATATTTATTTGTCACTTTCAATTTAAATGATCTTTGTGTGATTACTTAAAACTTTCTGTAACTAAATATTCTTTTGTAAATACCTTTTTTCAATTGTTATGTACTACATATTTACAAATATTGTATTGGGCAAGTTTCGTTTAATAAATAAATAAATAAATTTATTTGTCATCCTAGACCTTAGATATGTTTTAACTCTTTTTAGAGCACTAAAAGATCTTTCTGAGGAATATTTTGAGTGCTATGTTGACGTAAGGGTATATATTTTGAATGTCAAAATATATACCCTTACGGCTACTGGAGTTCCGTAGAATTTTGACACAGGAATAAGATGACTTAGTTCAGAGACGAATGTTGATACGGATGTTTAAGTTGAGTAGAACTGAAAAAGGTTAAGCAAGTGTCATATATATAATTATTTATTACTACAAAAATAAATCTAATAAACGCCCCAATAATATTATGTTGTAAACATTACATTTATTCTTAATAAATTAAAAGTAGATTTCGTTATGATTGTAAGTGAATAACTTTCATATTTTTTAGGATAAATTATTTTTAAGCAATTTAAAAACTGGATATTAATTAAATGTTAAACAAAAATAAAGTTTTCGTAAATAAATATTATTCATGATCATTAACCATCATTATTTCTTGTTCATACATAAGTTGTAAATTGTCAGTTGTATTGCTTCCTAGGTCTGGAATAATATATTGTGACTTTTCTTCTAAATTTGTGTTCAGCTGTACTGGTGGAGTTAATTTTTTTGAATTATTATGACTAATATTTTCACTGTTATCATTCACTAATCGCTCGTTTATTACCAGTGGTTTATAATTTGCTATTGATTTTTTGCATTTATCATTGTTGATAGTATTGTTTTTAATTTTTAAATATTTCTCTACAAGTATTTTCATTTGCTTTTGCCTTAAAGCAATTATATTTTTTTGACCCTTAAATTAATAAATAATTTATTTATAATTTTTATAATTTATAATTTTAAAAAATTAAAGAAACGTCAACGTGAAAGTAATTTAATTGTATATCGCGATCCTTTTTTTAAATTACATTAAACTACGTTTATTTCTGAATAAATGAACCAGAATTCTATATTTATTTCTTTTGCAAAAATGTTAATTACAATCTGTTCAACACAAAAATTCCTAAATAGTAACCTTATTTGAATTGAGAGTTATACTTAAAAAATCTAAATTGAAAACCTTGTTGAAAGAATTACTTACGACGAGTTCCATTTGGAATTTTTTAACTAAATTTTTATTTTTTGATAGTTTTAGCACAGACCATTTTTTAAACATTCGAGCTTTCAATGCTATTTCCGTATCAATACAAGCTTGAAGACCTTCGTATAAAAAATATACTTAAATGTTATAATAATTCTATTATAAGTAGAACAAGTAATTAATAATTCACTTTTTTCTTCTAAGTTTTGATAGATTGGAAGGTTTTCATGTGCAATATTAAGAATGCTTTCATTTCGATGAGAAATATATATATTATGTTTTATTACCGAAATAAATTCACTGAAACATTGACTGAGTTCTTGTGTCATATTCCAATAGAGCTTTTGTTGTTCCCTAAATTATTTTACTTAACCTTATTAATAATGGACCAAAATCTAATTTCCTAAATTGTATTACTTTGAAAATGTTTGTTTTATGTAATCTAATTGTGGATTATCATTGAGATAACTTTCGAAATTATTTAGAGTTTTTATAAATTCTAGGCAGTTTGGTTTTAAATCGAAATTTCGTTTTTTATTCAGGTACAATTCTAAGTTTCTTATTTGTAAGCAAAACGCATGATATATAGGGGATTGAACACTATATTCTTTACGTGAGTTCCCTAATTGATTCTTGTCATTGTTATATTTTGATTTATTTTGTTTTTTGTTTTTTTTGAATATATTTTTCAAGAATGCGTAGCTCATCTTTTTGCTATTAAATATTATGATGATTTGTGGCGCAACTGCTATTTATAAAAGTGTAAAATTAAAAAAATTATTTGTTAAGTTAACAATGTTAATTCAATTAATTAACTTGTGATTTTTTTAAATAATGCTGTTATTTATCTTCATGAAGTTTTTGAACTTACTTAAACAATTGACTGACTAAAAATCGTAATTAATTATGAATAATTTCCATTATTATCCACTTACCACGATTGTACATAGTTTATCAATATTTTAATTAAATTATATAAAACACGTAACCACGGAAATTTTGCATTACAGTGACTATAAATAATTCATACTAAAAAAATTTTAATTTTTTCATAGAAATACAGGCGCTTGATAAGTATATTTTTCTGTAAATGTACGGCTAATTGTGGATTTGGCTATTGAATTTTACGTTCTGCTCTTAAATGAATAATAAGTTCATTTTATAATTATATATAATCAATTGAACTGTGTTAACTGATTTATGATATAAGATGATTTGATTATTACGAATCAAATAGTAACTAGAACTGCCATAGATAATAAATATCAATAGCAGTTTTGTCATTTGACTACAATATTGTAGTCTATTATGAATCTAATTAACACATTATTTATACAGAAATGAAAGGTATTTATTATTAATTAAATACATTTAATTCAAGCAATAATTAACTAATTTTGGGTATAGGTAGAAGATTTAACTTAACTGTCTTTCTAAGGATTTGATCATCTTGTAGGTCATATTTATATTATTTTTTGCTTTTATATAGTTGTCAACTTCATTAGCCTATTGAACAATAAATAATGGATGTTTTATTAAAATTCATAACTGTACTATTAAATATGTTTTTAAATGCATTACATATTAAAATAAGTATAAGAATAATCAAAACTTAAGTGTGATTATCTTGTATTATACAAAATTATCATACACTGAATACGATAATGTAATACAAGTTGTATTACATGATCGTTTTCACAATAACATTTTAATGATATTTTAAATTTTTTTATGATAAATTTAAATTCTAATAGATTATTAGTTGCTATTATTATTACATGTAAACCATAAAAAATTAATTATCCATCAATTTTTTAGATTTTCTTTTAATTTTAAATGAAATATTGCACAAATCGTGGTGAAACATAAATGTCTAATATTTTACAAAATAGTTTTGTCGTCACCCCAACGGTAAGCGCAAGCCATTTTGATCAAAAATCGTACTGTATACATATTTTATACATGTTACATAATTCCAGCACTTGGTGGGCGACTATTGTTGTTTACATTTTTTTGATACATTGGTATCATACTGTATGGTAGAGGGAAATGACGCGCCAGTAGAACAACTATTTGTTTTACTAGCACTGCCACTAACTAGCATACTGGGAGTGCCAGTGTCTGTCATGAACTATTCACACGATATCAGTTGCTGGTATACCATTACTGGTGACTTTTAATTAGTGAAAATTAGTGTAAATTAGTTTTAATATCTTTATAAAAAAATGGATTTCACAACAAATAACTGCATAGTAGAGTTATTGGGATTCAATAAACGAATGATTGAATGTGGTTTTGTACACGAGTTGGATAAAATTACTAACATTAATCCATTATCATGGATAAGAATAGAGTTTGATATTATACATGTCAAATTTGTGAACGGATGCGAGATGTATTCGATTCACGTGTTTTATCCTTTGTTATCACCTGGCTATAAAATTGAAGAATCACCTAATAATCTAATATATTAACCCGTATTGACTATTAAGTATAAAACGTGAAAATTAAAATTAAAGATCAGAATAGTGAACTTGTTGATTTCAGAGGTGAAAGTGTAACAGTTCGTATTCATATTGTTATGAACTATTTCACAAGTCGTGCTATTTCAGTATATAGCTAATCACTCGACTGGTGCATATTCAAGTCAAATATTTTTATGATTTAGTCGTAGTTTTGTCGCTGTACTATTAATTTTCTAGACAATTATTATGATTATTTTATGATTCATCTTTAATCCATCCCGCTAAGTTTAAGAACGAAACGACACTTAAGGTTAATTACGTTCAATAATAGTACCCGATACCGCTCGCACACGGTTAGACTAACTCAAGGAATCTATGTTTGTTTGTCATAACAATATTAAAAATCTATTTTATCATTTAAAATTTATAAAAATCTTTACTAGTTCCTTTTTAGGCTCGCCCAGATATTTTTCCTGAAGTACTTCAACTGCCATAGAAACCTAAAATTTTTAACCAAATTATTTAAATTAAGTTTTTGAAAATTTAATGAATTAATAAACTCACTTGTGGTATAATTTTTGAAAGCTGTAAAATTGTATTTTTTTTGTGTTTAATCAAAGTTAGACCATCATTAAAATTTCTTTCTTGTGTTTTTACTTTCAATCTTTCTACTAAAAACTTATGACGAGAATTTTCTGATTTTTTTTTAATTGATTACGTAACACATAAAAGTTATTCGTGTATGATTTTATACATTATCTTTAAATAATATACATTAAATAGAGTTCTACTAAGGCTATTTATAACTGCGAATTGATATATTTATTTATAATTTAATCATTAAAAATATTTAATTGTTTTTTGCAAGCGAACAAAAGAATAATGTACTAAACATTATAGTTAAATATTTTATCTAAAGTGCCACTTTACATCAATGGTGCAACATATTATCATATATAATATGATAATATGATATTGGTGGATATATTAACATATATCCACTAATTAATTTAACAAATGTATCAATGCCTTAAACATTATTTTATTAAATTTTTACTGTGCATTTTAAAATAACAATGCATGAAAGTTGAAATTTTAAGATAACAACAAATACTGCAATATTTAAAATCATAGAAAACTACGATTAAACATTTTTCAAACTAAACGATATTATTTCTTTACCATTCGGAATATTATTGAAAAATTATTAAAAAAATATATATTTTTAATATTTTGTTTACCCAAAAATCGCACAATAATATATTTTGTACTAAATATTTACTACTGTAATCTTTTATTTTGACTAACACCATATCAGCTTCTTCTAACTTGCTTAATAATCTTCTATTTGATGCTTCAAGTGCCATACAATCAGCTATAGATATATTATCTCTTATTTCTTGTAAAGTTGTATACTTGTAACGAAGTTCTGACAGTTTTGATATTGCAGTAGATTTTTGTACGCGAAATTTACTTAATTTCAACTCAGCTGTCATTAGTCGTTTTTTAGCAAACCGCAAATACTTTTCAGCTGGTATACGTTTAGAAAGTTTGTCATAACCTAGCAATACTATTGAGGACCTATATAAATGTTTAATCCCAAGAATTCGAAAAAAATTTTAATTATTAATTTTATAGCTACATAGATTAAAAATAAAAAATAATTGTATATTCAATTCTAGTATGATTTGGATTTTGGATTAGATTTTCATTTTACAATGAAAATCTTATAAATTAGTTGAGAAATTATTTATTTGTAAAAACAGAAAAAGGGAAACAATATAATTAATAAAATATTATCTTTATAAATTGCAAGTATGCATCAGGTAGAATCTAAAGAACGTAATAATCAAACAAAAAAAAATTGTTTTTTAAAACAATTTTTGTTGTATTTTAATTTTAAACAATGTAATTTTAGAGGTGCTTTAAAGAAACTTATAATTTCTAATTATAAGAGTTTTATCATTGTAAAATTTAATTCTAAAAAAACCTAAATAATTCATTTAATACATTCCTTTAACCCGTAACTAGTACAGTGCGGTGTCACATATTACTGCATTTTTTAGAAGCTGAAAAGGTATTAATTTTACTTAGATGTTTCTTTTTTTTTATTTATTTTTTTTTTGTGTCTGTTACCACTTTTTCTCTGCCCTCACCGAACCGATTTCTTTCAATGATATGTCAAAAGATCACAAATGGTATCTAGTCGAAGACATTTTCCTCAAAAATTGAAAAAATTTCCCTCGTTCCCCGTAAATGGGGGAAATCTCCAAAAAAATTACAAATTTAAAAATCGGTAATTTTCGAAATATTTTCAATTTTCTTTACCTTAAACTTCTATAACTTTTTCAAAATTGAACAAATCAATATAATTTTTTTTTAATAAATGCATAATGTCCATACCTATCATTTGATATATTTTTTTTATAAATTTGACCCTTTACCTGCCCACAGCGGGGATTTAAAATGACAACTTTTTCAACAGAACTTTTTTAAGTGTTCCGGAAATACTGACACTTTTATATATATATATCTTAAATTAAAGCTAATGTAATATACTTTATTATGGAAAAAAAAAAATTCATGGTAAAAACAGACTTCTTCTTCTATTGGCTTCGGCCCTTAAGACTATGCCACTAAATATAACTCTTACCATGTGTTCCTGTCCTCTGCAGCTTCTCTCTATCTGATTCCTGGTGCTATCTTTTTTATACATTCTTCCCACCTCTTCTTTTTGTGATCTCCTTAACCTATATCTAGTCTCTGAAACTGCATTTGGAGTTCATATGATTATGCAATTTTCTCCATTCATTTGTTTGGTTATCAAAGACTGGTCCATATATTTTTCTTAAAACTTTCCTCTCAAAAATCCCTAGTCTCAGTTCCTAGGCTATTCTCTGTGTCCACGTTTCAGTAACATACAGGACAATAGGTCGTAATAATGTCACATACATTCCTATTTTTTAATTTTTAGAGGGTCCTAGCTTTTAGTACTTTTTCTAATCCATAGTATCCCTTATTAGCTATTTGTATTCTCGATGACACCTCTATCTTAAGTTCATTATCTTGAGTAATAATCGATCACAGATATTTAAATTGTGATACTTTTCTAAATGTATGTCCTTCTAACTCAATATATTGTTCTAGTCCATAATTTCTGTTACTTCGGCTAACAATTAAGTATTCCGTCTTATCATCGTCAATGGTTAATTCCACTTTCTCCACTGCCTTTATAAGTTGTTTTCCCATACCTTTTATCATCTCCTAAGAGAGCGATATCGTCCGCGTATTCTAAGAGTCCAATTGTTATCTGTCCCTGAGCAATTCCTCTGAAACGTTCATTTCTCGTACTATTTTTGCAAAACCAGGTTAAACAACACTGGGGATAGTGCATCCTCTTGCCGGAGACCTGTTGTCACCCTTACAGGCTGCGATGTTGTGTTAGCTATTTTAACCTTTATATCTGTCTGGTTAATGCTGGCTCCAATGAGGTTTACAATTTTATTTGGGAATCTAAATTCTTTGAGTATATTTATTAGGCTTTCTCTATGGATAGTCATAAGCTTTTTTAAAATCTACAAACAATATCTGTACATCCTTATTGTATTCCCACCTTTTGGACGATTTGTCTTATTACGAAAATCTGATCGTTGTAAATCTATTGGGCCTAAATCCTCCCTGATAGTTCCCTAGTAACGCCTCTGCTATGGGCCTTACTCTATCCAGTATACAATATGCTAGGACTTTACACGTTCTATCTAGTAGTGCTATACCCCTATAATTATTACATACTTGAGGATCATTTTTTTTTGTGGATAGGACAAACTAATGCGGTGCTCCATTCCTTTGGAAGTCTTTCTTCATGGCAAATACTCTCTATAATACTATGTATCCTATTTTATTTTTCCTTCATCCAGGTTTTTTAGTACTTCTTCTTGGATTCCGTCATCCCCAAGAGTTTTATGGTTCTTTAGCCTGTAAAGTTGTTGTAATATTTCCTCTTTGCTTGTGGGCGGACAGTCAGTGTCATTAGGTTCCGTTGGTATCCATGATATTGTCTCGGCTGGGTTTACACAATTAAGTAATAATCCAAAATACTGTCTCCATTTTTCCAATACCTTATCTTGTTTTGTCACTAGGGAACCATCGTCATTTTTAAGGAACTTCTCATGTTTTTTGTACCACCTCTAATTGAATTTATCTTCTGGTATAATTGTCTAGTTCTATATACTCTATGATTAGACTCGGCTTCCTCTAATACTTCTTTTGTATACTTCCGTTTTTCATATCTAAATATTTTATTTGCTTCTTTTTGGCAATCTTTGTATGCCATCATTTTCTCTCTATTAGTAGGGTCGTCGAGTAACTGAGTCCTGACTTCTTTACTTCTATTAAATACTTCCTTGTAGTTGTTGAACCACGGTTTCCTTGTTCTCTTTTGTTTGCCTATTACTATGTCTGTGACCGTTTTTATTACACCTTTAAACACTTTCCATTTAGTATCAATTGTCTCTTCTTGATTTATAATTAAACTGTTCATTGTTTCATATAATTGTTGCTTGAAGCTCCCACATATATTGGTATCCTGTAACTTATTCATAACTGTCCACTAATGTTACTTTTCTAACAGTTTCTTGAGTTTTACCTTCGGCTTTCCTTTAACTAGGTAGTGGTCTGATTCACAGTCAGCTCCTCTGACTGTTTTGACATCTTGTACACAATTTCTGAACCTATTATTAATTAAGACATGGTCTATCTGACTGACATATCTACCATTCGGTAAAAACAAACATCAAAGTTAATAAAAAAAATACGATTTTTGTAAAAATTCTTTTTTATATTCTTAATTTTATAATGCTATAACTTTTTGAAAAATGTATGGATCGTTATATTTTTTTTGAGATAAGTATTATTTATATATTATTAACATATATATATATTTATTTATTCATATATTATGCTTCTAAATCATAAAACTTGTAATCAGAATATAAATAGTGAAATAGGAGACTCTGTAGCTTTTAGAATAATCCATAATTTTTTTTTAAATTAAACACTATATACAGATTTGCATCAAAGCGTTTTTTATGATAGTGATTTTAATCACTGTTAGACATCAACTATGCCACGACTCCATTTTGCCGCCACCCAACTGTGCTGGATTTTTTATCATACATATATATCTTTTACAATATTTATAATACAATTTGGAGGTAAAGTATACCTCTACATGGAGGTATTATTCATAAGATAAGTGGGTTTTTTGAAGTTATGTTCCGTTTTATAACTTGTTGTTATTAATATAAAATATTTGGCGGTATCTCACACAGCACTGTACTAGGTGCGTAATTTTTTTTATCATGAAAAAGTTTTTTTCTATAATCAATTTTTTGTTTTTTTTTGTATAATAAATGAACTTAGCTGGTACTTCTAACATTTCGGTTAATAACCCAAACTTTTAAAAAATAATATTAGAACTTTATTCTGATGATAATTCTGAGGTAAGTGATACTTATTATATATTATGATATGATAATTCCAACAATGGTGTTTGTATAGAAATTAATCTTGAGTCCGAACAGAATCTGAACAGAAAGATAATGATATAACCGAAAGTGATGATGAAGAGTCTGATAGTTCTGGTCATGATAATGATGAATCTACAAGAGTTTCTAAAAATTTTTAATGAAAAAATAAGTATAAATGGTCAGCAAATGAATTTGTATGTAAAATATTAGGAACTGCTCGTCATAATATTATTACTCAAATTCCCGTATTACGTGATCCTGTAAAAAACTTAGGTGATATTGCAAATCCTATGGATATTTGGAATATGTTTTTTACATGTTCTATTTTAATTGAAATTTTGATTTGGACCCATTTAAAACTTGATAGTGTTCATCAGTAATATAAAGAACAATTAAGTTTTACAAAAATTATAGACGAAATTACGCTACGTCACTTTTTGGCTTATTATTTTAATCAGCTGTTTTTAAGTCAAATTATGAATGCGCAAAACTCTTGAAAAAAAAAAAAAACAAAAAACAAAATTATCACTGATGGGACTGGACGCGAAATATTTCGTTTAGTTATGTGTCAAAAAAGGTTTTTATTTTTAATTAACTGTTTATATATTAATAATCCGGATACTAGAGATCAAAGAAAAGAAAATAATCTTACCGCTGTTATTTTCGAAATTTTTAGTTCATAAATAATTGTAAAAAAAATTATTCGTTAAGTTCATGTGCTATAATAGATGAAATACCTGTTAGTTTTCGTGGGAGGTGCAAATTTAAAAAAAGGAAAACGTCTTTTAAATGCTACCTTTATGGCAATCCAATATGTCTACAGTACTGTAAAAAAGTTATTCAAGATGAATGGGAAATTAAAAAATTAAATTCACTTTTTATAAAGTTTTTTACATTTATTTTTGTTTTCAAAGGTATTTAAATTTAATTGTAGTATATGTAAAGAGCAATTAAAATAAAAAGAACCTATCACTAGTTAAAATAATTACTCTTCTTTATTAATTACGACATACTCGCATTACACACTTTTTTTAATGATACCTTACATATCAAAAAAATGTATTATTTTATTTTTTGTTATATTATCAGTTATCAAATGCTGTTTATACAGTGCGGACGTATTTTTTACTTCTCTTCTTATCTTATACTAAATATTATAATTAGTTTAACTAATCTCCTATTTAAAGTTTTCTACTTAATTAAATATTTCAACCTTTAAATTGTTCGGCATGTTTGACTCACTTTGCGGAATTAAATGTACCTGTAAAATGTGATAGTTACTCTGAAGCTGTTCATAGTAAATGTTCGGGACATTCAACTGATGAGTTAAAATGTGTAACGATGAAAAATAAATCTAAAATATTTACTATATGTCTTGCGATCAATTACTTAAAGAAATAGCTAAATTAAAAATTCTTATAAAAAAATTACTAACGGAAGTTGATGCACTCAACGTCACAAGCACGTATTGCATTTGATCGCGTTCAGGTAAATGTCATTCTACACACTATAATCAACGAACCTAATGTTACAGTGCCGGTACCGATAAAAATATTTCGCCTTGGCCGTTATCAATCTAATAACCTAGATTTTTATTAATTAGCTCAGATCGTACTCAATATCAAAGAGAAAATTTAATAAAACTTCGGAGAGAATTATCGACGCGTATTTCAAATGATGAAATTGAATTGACTATTAAATTTGTTAAAGGAGTACCAAAAATTGTACAAACATCCGAAAAAAATTACTATAATTCACAAAAAGCTTTTAAACTTGCATGCTTTCTATCAAAATAAACGAGGTCTTAAGACAAAACTATTGCATTTTCGTGATTCTGTAAAAAACCTTGAGAGTGATTTTTTGTTTTTATCTGTAACGTGGCTTAATAATAATATTACTGATGCTGAACTAGCACTAGTTAATTATAACATTTTTAGATCTGATCGTGATAAAAGTCATGAAATAAGAGGGGGTGGCGTTTTAATAGCTATAATTAATAAATTTAATTTTGTTCTTTTACATTTAGAAAATATTAATAATATATATTATTTATTTGTTTTACTAAATTATAATAATAGAAAAGTTTTATTAATTTGTGTATATTTTCTACCTAATACTAGTAAAGAAAGTTACATTTTATTTTGTGACTTAGTTGAAGATCCTATATCTTTTTATTTCATCTTGGAAATAATAATCATAGGTGATTTTAATTCACCTGGTTTTGTATGGTCAATCAATAACCCTATGCTATATATTTCTGCTAATATTTTTTTAATAGTCTTACTGTTGAATGGAATAGGTTATGTAATTAAAAGATTTAGAAATTATTCGTAATATAATAGTATTTAATATAAAATGTCAAAACATATAATATAAGAGATGTACAACGGCAACGGGTCACTTTACTCGATAGACGGTGAAACTACGACTAAACTGTAAACATGTATACAATAGGCTGTGTTACGTCGCTATTTAGGGGTTTAGCCTAAATGCCCGTCGACAGTATTCTAAGGGACCAACGGGGGATAGCTGGCTAGGCTATATCTACCTTAGGTACTGAATATATATATATGTCTATTAAACGGTACAACGATGTTATGGGAGAAAGTGTCTCTTTGACCTTGTACTATACTAACATAAGTAAAAATACATTAAACTGTTATCTTAAATAATATTACTGTACCCAGTGTGTTGTTTAATAATATCAACACTTACAAATTATCTTAATTTAAAAGAGTGTAATAATATCACAAATTCTCATAACAATTTATTAAATCTAATTTTTACTGATTTTAATATATTGAACTTAACTAAAGGTCCATCTTTAATAACAATGTATGATGTCTATCACCCCCCTTCAGAGTTATTTTGCTCTCTGAATATATCTTTTAATACTCCTAGTGAAACGTCATTTCCTATTTTTTACAATTTTATCTTATGTAAACTAAGTGATATAGGTGAACAGTTTATATTGTACAGTCGTACCGTATGGTTGTGCTTATTTTTTGTTACTATTTTATTCTATTGTTATTATTCGTAACTTTTCTTATGGCTTCAAATAGTGTAAACTGTTATATTTGTAATCTTGGTTTTGCTGAGTTTGATCTTCCTATTAAGTGTGATGGCTGTAACGTTTTAACACATAACAAATGCTCAGGTCTTAATAATAGTGAAATAAAATGTCTTGGTTTGAAGAATCGAAATTTGAAATTTTTTTGCGAAGCATGCAATAAGGGTTTGCGTGATATTCCCGAACTTAAACTATTAATTAATGGTTTATTAGCTGAAGTTAATGAACTAAAGAGTCAGAAGCAAAATAACAACGCTCAAAATTTTTCTGAGGAGTTTATAATTGGTGAAGTCGGCGAACGCAATATCAGAGCATCTAATCTAATATTTTACAACGTTCCAGAGTCCAACCTTGATAATGCAGTCGACCGAGTTAATCATGACTCTAATCTTGTGAGTAATGTAATTGATTCGATTATTACTAGTGGGGATATTAGACCGTCTAAAGTTATTCGTCTTGGTATTCATGGTAAAAATAATCCCCGTCCAATTAAAGCTGTTTTTAGCACACCAGCTGATGTGTTTGAAATATTGAGGTCAAAAAAAAAGTTGTTATCATTACAAACACCTTCCACTATTGGTATCAGTTCGGATCGCACTCTTTATCAGAGAAACTATATGAAAAAACTTCGTGATGAACTAGAGTCTCGTAGATCAAATGGTGAAATTAATTTAATCATTAAATACATAAGAGGAACTCCTACCATCGTGACTAAAGATAACCGTTTTAATGCCCGTGCTGGAAATTTTTTATAATTAATATTTTCTACCAAAATGTCCGTGGTCTTTTAACAAAGATCCCCTTTTTACGCAATGCATTGTTGAATGTTAATTATAATATAATATGTTTAACTGAAACTTGGCTTAATGAAAATGTTTTTGATTCTGAACTTGGTTTCACTAATTATAATTTATATCGTAATGATCGTAATAATTTGTCCTATGGTAAAAAACGAGGTGGTGGTGTACTAATTGCAGTAAATAAAAAAATTAGTTGTGACGTATTAAATGTCTCTAGTGTTATGGGTATTGAACAAATTTTTTTGAAAATTAGTTTAAATAATGTTAATATAATTTTAGGTTGTATTTATATTCCACCAGGCAGTTCTTGTGATGTATATTCTAAGCACTGTGAGGTCATAGAGTCTATTTATTTAATGTACCCCAATTATAATTATGTTATAACTGGTGATTTTAATTTAAATCAGTTTGACTGGTCTATTGATCCAATCACTCAAGATCATATTACAGGTTCTCTAATTTTTAACTGTTATATAAATTTCTTAAATTTGAAACAAGTAAACCATATAATTAACTGTAGTGGTCGAACTCTTGATTGTATATTGATTAGTGCTGATATTGAACATACAAATAGTTTACATTCGTCAGAATCTCTTGTTCCAATAATTGATAATTATCATCCACCATTAGATTTTATAATACAATTTAATAATTCATTGGGTAATGAACATTTTGAATCTCCATTAGTTTATAACTTTAAAAACTGTAACTTTGATGATATTTCTCATTTTCTTCAGAGTATTGATTTTGATCTTAATCTGAATTATAATTTATCTTTTGAATTGCTTATTGAAAAATTTTATGAAATTATTTATCACTCTTTTGATTTATTTGTGCCAAAAACAAAAATATATAATAAATATACACTTATATGGGCAAATTCTGAACTCAGAGATTGTATAATTAAAAAAAAATGTGCCCATAAAAAATTTAAATTATTCCCTTCTGATATTAATTATTATGATTTCTCTATTTTAAGAAAAAAATGTAAACATCTTATTAATATATGCCATGCTCAATATATTTCCAATATTGAAAACAGTATTCAAACAAATATCAAACCTTTTTGGAATTATATTAACTCTCTAAAGAAGTCTAATAATTCTGTTCCGGACTTTGTAAATTACCATAACTCATCTTCTACTAATATTTTAGAAACAACTCAATTATTTGCAAACTATTTTTCAAGTGTCTATACCAAAGATCTTCCGCTCTTTAATGGACTTGATCCTCTCCCTTCTGGTGGATCTGATAATTATTTGAACTTACACTCCTGGACTATCTATCTGAATGAAATTGTTGATTATTTAAATTCTTTAAATGCTCATGCTGGTACTGGACCTGATGGTATTCCACCTATATTTTTAAAAAATTGTAGCTCGGTTCTTGCTCGTCCGCTTCATATGATTTTTAATAAATCATTAAGTTTGGGTTATTTCCCTAACATTTGGAAAAGGTCATTTGTAACACCAGTATATAAATCTGGAGATAAACATAATGTTACAAGTTATAGGCCGATTTCCAAAATGTCCATAATTCCGAAAATGTTTGAAGCACTAATTACAAAAAAATTGTCTTTAATTATGACTCCCCTCATTTCTAATAACCAACATGGTTTCAGACCCAAAATGTCAGTTTCTACAAATATTCTACTTTTTCAGGAGAAAATTCTTTCGGCTTTAAATCAACGTGTTCAATTGGACACTATTTATACAGACTTTCAGAAAGCGTTTGATAAAGTAAACCACAATATTCTATTACATAAATTATCTTGTGTTGGTATTCATGGTACATTTTTTAATTGGTTAAAATCTTACCTATATTCTCGTACCCAGGTGGTTAAAATTAATAGTTTTATTTCTAATGAATTTTTGGTTACTTCTGGTGTACCACAAGGGTCGCACTTAGGTCCCCTCTTATTCATACTATTTATAAATGATTTACCATCTATTTTTGATAGCTCAGTTAATATTCTATTATTTGCTGATGATGTCAAATTATTTTCAGTTATTAAATCACCAAAAGATGCAATAAAATTGCAGTCAAATTTAGATAAATTTGTTGAATGGAGTCGTGTTAATTACCTTCCATTAAATATAAATAAGTGTAGTGTGATTACGTTTTCCCGAATAAATAATATAATCACCTATAATTATTTGATTGATAGTAATATAGTTACAAGAGTTGCCTCTATCAGAGACTTAGGGATAATCTTAAATTTTAATTTGGATTTTTCCACCCATATTAACACCTTTATTAAAAAAGCTTTTAAGATGCTTGGTTTTATTAATAGAAGCACGATAAATTTTAAAAATATTAATGCCTTAAAAACTTTATATTTTTCCTTGGTTAGATCTCATTTTGAGTATGGATCAATTGTTTGGTCACCACACTATATATCATGTACCAGTCGAATTGAAAATGTTCAGTATAAGTTTTTAAAATTTTTATGTTTTAAATTAAATATACCCATCTCAAGAGAATCATACAAGTTGCAGATTTCCCAATTGGGGATCGTGTCTTGTGATTTGAGGAGAAATGTTGCGGATATAATGTTCCTGTATGACTTATTAAATGGTCTTATTTATTCTCCAGAATTATTATCTCACATTGGTTTTAATGTACATACTCACGTATTAAGAAAATCTAATTTTTTTCATATTTCTCTTCCTAAAAATATTTATACTTCCTCCTCGTTTTTCCCAAGAGCTCTATCTTTGGCTAACAAAATTATGGATCATATCGATTTTTTTTCTATGTCGCGTTTTGTATTTAGACAAAATGTTTATTTGGCTTTAAATTTAAATTCAAATTCTCTTGGATAATTTATTATTTTATATTTTATTATATTTTTATTCACTACAAACATATCATTATTATTTCTTTTTTTGTAACTGTTTATGTTATTATTGATTTTTACTGTACTTATTAATATTCTTATTGTAAAAGGGTTAACACCCGTATATTATACATAAATAAATAAATAAATAAATAAACACCTCTCAAAAATAGATATTATAAAACATTTCAATAACTTAAATTTAAACTCGTCAATCAATAAGTAATATGAAATTATTTTGCATAATTATGTGCCTAAATTTAAATTCAATTCTAACATAAATTGTAATATTACATGGTCAAATCCAGCCCTCAGAAAATTAATAAAATTAAAAATAGAAGCTCAAAAAATTAAAAATAACAAATTCTCAAAAGGATTATTGAACTTTTTCCGAAATTCGGAAAATATGCAAATCATTATATAGTCAAATTCATGCAAATTACATACAAAAAATTGAAAATGGTGTAAATTTAAATCCTAAATCATTTTGGCATTATTACCAGTCCTCGAGAACTAATAGATCAAATATACCTAATACACTTTGTCTTGATAAAGTTGTATCTAAAAATATCAATGAAACAACTGAATTATTTGCAAAATTTTTCTTTTCTGTTTATTCAGATTATACAGTTCATTAGTTGAGAGCAATCTTAATTTAAAATTTTTACATATTTCAGAATATGAAATTTATGATATGTTAGATTCATTAAGTGTTTATGCAGGTACTGGCCCTGATGTGATGGAATCCCTTCGTCATTTTTAAAGGCTTGTAAGTCAGTTTTAGTCAAACCACTACATTATTTATTTAATTTATCGCTTTCTAGTAGATATTTTCCGAATATTTGGAAAAGATCTTATATTACTTCTATTTATAAATNAGATATTTTCCGAATATTTGGAAAAGATCTTATATTACTTCTATTTATAAATCTGGTGATATTCGAAACTACAGCCCAATATCAAAATTATCACTCATTCCTAAATTATTTGAAGCCATTATTACTAAAAAGTTGACAAACATTTTAATTAATCATATAAATCCACACCAGCATAGTTTTTTTGTTAAATATTCTGTTTTAACAAATCTATTAACCTATCAAACGTATTTATTAAATTCAAATGATAAAAATTATAAAAATAAGAGCTCTTGGGGTTAATGGTACATTTCTTTCGTGAAATGCGTCATACTTAACAAATCGTTCTCGGGCATCTTTTCATATTTCAGCAGATTTTCACATATTATCAGGCGTCCCACAAGGATCACTTCTTTTCTTAATTTTTAATGATTTGCCACAGTTAATAGATAGCGACGTTAATATATTACTTTTTGCTCAATAAAGTCTTTTTAGATGTCGAAGTAAACATTGATAAGTGCAAAGTAGTTTCATTTACTCGTTCAAAAAACCCAATACTATTCATTTACAATTTAAATAATATTGAATTAAGTAGATCGGATTTATCTTATAAATTTCACCACAACTCACAAATAAATGCTATAAAATTCTAGGCTTTATTAAAAAAAATCCAGTTTGAAAACATTATACTGTTCCTTGTATGTATATATATATATATATATATATAAAGGTCTAATGCCCGTACAATTTTTTTTATAAATAAATTATTTAATCCTATTTTTTTAATCCTTTTTATTTGTTTTCAAATATCTAACATTTGTTTTTGTAATATTTAAAAAAAAACAATTTTATTATAACATTTTAATATTATTTTATTTATTAAAAAAATTACGTATTTTAAGTTAAAACTATGTTAACTATGTAGTTAATACTTTATAAAATTTAACAATTAATATACTTAAATTAATAAAATAAAAATGTTGTTGAAATAAACTATGATAATAAAACATTTTAACTGGAGTTTATTGGATTATTTTTATATAAAAAATGATATATATATGTATATATTTTTTTTTAATTTAGTTTTAGGTTGTGTCTAAAACCATTATACATAGGTTTTAGCTTTAATATCTAATTTTAAAAAATCCTAGAACGAAAAAAATGTTTAACAAATAATTCGATTTTAACGTTTTTGATATTATTTAAATTTCGATAAAATAATACGAAAAAATAATTTTTAAATAAAAAATAAGGTTCAAAATGGTTGTTTATATTATAATTATAATATATATGCAAGAACTTATTGAAATACTTGATCTTAAAAGACCGAAATATCGCTTTTTAAACGTAGCGGCGTGTCACATCACACTGTACCAGTAGTGTTATAATTTATACTGTACCAGTTACGGGTTAATCCTACATGGACGTATTGTTATTTATGATACATACTTGAAATTTTCAATAGCTTTTACGCTTTCACTACACTGAATTTCTAATTCTTCATATATATTATTAAATTTTTTAGATACTTTAAGTAATGCTTTGTAACGTTTATCATAATCCATATTCATTGTGTCAAGAACATTTTTTAATACTGGTGTCTTATGTTTTGTTGTTAGTCTAATATTATGAAAAATAATTATATTGAGTTTTATTTTTGTATGTTTGAAAGTGGTATAAAATGAATTTTTGATATAATGTTATATTATACGATGAAGAAATAATTAAAGGATAATACTTTATATTCAGTAAAAAAACCTTATATAATAAAAATTTATCACTTGTGGCTAATTAATTTTACTTACAAAAACCTTACTTAGTTAAGTGTACTCTTCTGACTACATGATACATGCTGCCTGATATATCTGATATTATTGACATTCGTTGTTTGAAATCCTTACGAATATATTTTGGTGCTTCTTGTACAACATGAATTTTTTTCTGTTCCAAATCAAAAGGTAACCAAGATGAATCTGTGAGAGCTATAATTAAGAATTAATAAGCTTAATATGATATTGATCATCTATTAATCATATTTTCAATAATACTTTCAGCAAATTCAGGACAAATTTTAACTATAAACATTTCTAAAGCTTCACATTCTGTTATTAAATCTATATTTATTTTTTCAAGAAATTTTTGTTTAGCTTTTAGTTGTTGTATTGTACATCCTGAAAAATAAAAATATTAAATACATGAATCAATATTACATAAACAAAACACGGCTTTTTAGATAAAATTCAGATCTTCATTTTGAAATAAATTTATTTTATAGTATTTCTATTTAAAGCATTATAAAACCAATCTGCATATTCTTTATGAATTGTGATATATTGTATGAATTATTTTTGATTGAGAGTGTTATAAGTTTAATAATTGTATAAACATTTAAAAACATGTATATAAAAAACATTTTTTTATTACCATAAAGAAACTCGAATTCTAAACAATAAGGTTTTTTGTTCAAATTACACTTATTATTCTATATTACCATATATTAAAAAACAAATTTTCTACATTTCAAAGTTGTAAGTTCAAGAAACTACTTAAATGAAATTACTTTCTAGTGGTATATCACTATATGGTTCGGGTTCACTTTTAATATTATCAAAAAATAACATAGATATCTTGCTTTTATTCATAATATTTATGATTGATATTTAATTATTATTATTATTTTTTAATTAATTAGTGAGCTTTAATAAGAAATGTTAATGTTATCTGAAATGATTTCTATAGTAATAACTATCACTTTAAAAATTTACCTAAAAATATTTAAATTATAGTAGTTTTTGCTCATCTCGAGTTCTTCTGTTGAATACACTGATCAGCTTCAAAATCTCTAGTTAGTGAACCAATAAAGTAGTTAGTCTAAACTAACTGTGTTTTAAACACAGTTTAGCTTAAAATTAATTGACTAAAGGGTGGCTCCTTGTCAGCCACCAGTACAAATACATTTTTACTAAGTCCACTAAAGGACTGATAAGTCCAACAGCTAGCCAGCATGCACACTAACTGTTAAAGTTGACCAAGCAGTTCAAACTTGACTTTAGTCGAACACACATGCTCAATTTTGAGGCAATATATGGCGTGGACTGGGTGTAGATGGCGTTGTCTGCAATAGTTAAGGGTAATGATAGTGTGGCTTTAGGTGGGAAGAGGCATGGTAAGTAAAGGGTCTTTACTAAGGGGGTTATTTGAAATGGAGGAGGAAGGCTACGAGCTTTAACCACTCCACTCTTTAACCAAAACAAAGTTTAAATGCGGCCCTTTTATAGGCTGGGAAACCCCCTTAAACCCAACTCCAATTTAAAGGTCCTCTGTCGTAAACCCAGTGTAACATCTTCCTACCCCGTTAGTCAGATTCCACAATGGGATTAAATATTATTAACACAGTGCGAATATTTTTTGATCACATCTCTACGATGTAGCTGTTAATAAATAAATATATACAGAGAGGACCAAAAGTTTGTTTACATTTCAAACGATAATTAAAAGAAACTAGGTATGTGAGATAAAAACTGTTTGTTTATTATAAAAGTACATAAATAGGGATTTTATTTTTTAAAAATTACATCATCCATATGTGATCCTTTACTATTTTGACACTGCTGCAATCTGGAGAAAAAATTTTCAATGACGGCCTCACAAATGTTTCGTGAAATGTTATGCAATTTCTCTCGGATATTTTTCTTTAATTCCTCTAGGGACACTGGGTTGTTGTTGAAAACTTTACTTTTAAGGTTTCCCCAAAGAAAGAAGTTCATTGGGGTATAGATCCGGACTACAAGATGACCAGTTAATGGCACCTATTTTGGATATCACTTTTTGTCAAAAAATTTCGCGAACAGCACTTAATGAGTCGTTGGAAGTGTGGCATATTGCCCCATCTTGCTGAAACTACTATCGTTGATTAAAATCATCAAAATCCTTTAGTGTTGGCGAAAACAAATTCTGTAATATGGCAACATACCGCTCTGTATTCACTGTAAAACTATTTCCTCGGCGATCTTCAAAAAAGTATGGATCAATAATGCCTATTGCAGCAAAACTGCCTATATAGTAACCTTGAGTGAATGCAGAGGTTTTTGATGCTTCAATTTAGGATTTATGTACTCCAATACCGCCAATATTGTCTATTCATATGTCCATTTAAAAGAAAGTGTGCCTCGTCTGAGAATAAAAGTTGGTAAAGCTAGTGAACCTCTGTAACATTTCGTTGGCAAATTGCGAATAGCCGCCGCTCTTACACACTCAATGTTTTCGGGATCTCTTGATGTTCTACGTCAGCCGGATCGTGGTTAATTCATTGTTGAATCTGTTTTCTCGAACTTTTATACCCATTTTCTAATTAAATGAATGATTGAGCTTTATTTTTACGCCATATATTGTAATGAATGAAAAATTTTCGTTGCGATATAGTAAAAGAATCGTTTCAATGAACTGAATGCATCTATGTGCGGCTGCACTCAACCGTTTAATAGTTCAATGAAGGCCGCCGAGCGCCTAAGGCGCGTAGTTATTGATCATGCTATGTGCTTTGTAATTCGCGTTAGAGGCAAGAGTGTAATTACCTCCCTATTGTCTACTGTTTATCCATTTAGATTTGGAAAATGAACAACGTCAATAAACGAAACAACAGGATTCGATGAACATGAATAGGTTGATAGAGGAGTTGTTGTTGCTCAAATCAAACTGAAAGATCTAATATAATTATTTTATAATAATTAAATATTAGAAAAATAAACGTCATTATCAGCCAATATAAGATGTAAAAATTACTTACATTATTACACGCGCAGAGTATTTTATTCACCGTCACAATAATATTTTAAAACCGAGGTTGTTTGCGCAGCTATAAACATCGAACGACGACTGAAATGCATTAATAACTATTACATATTAGATAAGGAAAGGTTAGATTATAGACAAAATTAAACAAGATAAACAAAATTATGGTATTCAAAGTACACCAGCACATGTAGTTATCGCGTAATCCAATAGTCCGGACGCACAAGTTGTTATAAATATATATTATATTTTTACAACTAAAAGAAACTAATAGTGGTGGTGTGAAACGTATAAGCAAATATCGTAAATAAATGTTATATTTGACACAGTTATATTTTTGGGCTGCCGTTTACCTATCCTAACGGATATATATAATGATGTTAAATTCTTTATGGATAATAATAAACACTTGGTTTCTCTGTAAAACAAAAGTTATTTATTATATATTATTTACAAGATTACCTGTAAAACAAAAGAAACAGCAATTTATGTTTACTATTACCACTCTTAACACTAACAATTTTAAAAAATGTTTAAGTTTTTTTCTATATCTTTATTTTGTGTTGTTTCTATCAGTTTTTCTAATATCTCTTTTAGATTATTATTATGTGTTTTGTTTGAATTCTCTTCATTTAATTCCTCTAAATATTGATCTTTAAATTGTAAATTTCCATCTTCATGTATGTATGTCGCTTCTAATTCTTCTGTCATCGCAATCCACACTTTTCTTACCTGATTTCTTTTCTTTAATGAATTAACTAGTTTTGTGTAATTGCTTATTTTTCTTAAATTTATACATGATCTCTCATATACCTAAATTCTTCTGGCAATATATATCTTTTTCCATCTTCTGTACAAATTGAAGTTATGGCAGTTTGTTGAATCAATATAATCTTTTTATAATCAACAATGAAGTTTGTTTTATTTAATTTAATTATAACATACAAAGCACAAATTAACTAAAAAAATTGCACATACAAAAAAAATTAAGATAATGTGTCTTAACTTGCATAATCGTACAAAAAAAATTAGATAATAATGATAATAATCAAATGATACAAGTATACAGTTTCAGTAACTTAAAATAATCATATCTCAACACTCCACCTTGATTATTTTATTACAAATATTTACAAAAGGTTTAGCAGTCAAAGGTTTGGTCAAAATGTCTGCTAATTGATCACAGCTTCTGACATGTTTCACTTCAATGGTTTGACCAATATGTTGTTGAATAAATTTTCTCTTTATTTCAATATGCTTTTTACCCTTAATTGATTTTCCTTCATGAACATTCTGTAGCATATGTATCAATGACTTGTTGTCGACAAACAATGTAGTAGACTCCTCTGGATTTACAAAACCTAGTTCATTTCCTATTCTACGAATCCAACAAATGTCATCAATAGACGAAATTGCACCTCGATATTCAGCCTCAGATGTTGACTTGGTTACAAGGCTTTGTTTTTGTGTAAACCAGACAATTGGACCTCCTCTTAAAATGAGTACACCACTGGTTAAAATATGTGTGACAGGTTCACCAGCACAATCAGCATCACTATAAGCAAAAATTTTATCATCCCGATTAAAGGAAATTTCATTCATAATTGTACCCTTTAGATATTGAAATACACGTTTGACTAATTTCCAATGACTTTGCATAGGTTTGTTGCAATAACGACTCAAATAATTTACAGCAATACTTATGTCTGGACGAGATATTGTAGATAAGTACAGCAGACTTCCAACGGCTTCACGATAGGGTATGAATTCTGTAAGAAGTTTATCATTCACCAAATGTTCTTCTTTAGTTTTCATTACATGGGTTTTCCATTCTCAAATTATTTGTCAAACAAAATTATATACGTCATAAATAAATAACAAAATTTAATATAATAAATATTCAATAAATAAAATTATGTAATAATTTCAAACATCGAAATTTTTACAAAAAAATCGTTGTCGCCCAGTAATTAAATATATCATCTACAAGGCAACAAAAAGTTTTCTCTGGACGACATTTCTGTCGCTCAATATATTAGTTAAAATATCCACTGTATAGGTCTGGCAAAATCTATACCGATCCGTATTGGGTTGGGTTATATTTCGCTGATCCATGAACTTATTTTAATAAAGATTTGTTTTCCAAAATTTGGCCATAAAATTCTTCACAAGATAAAATAAACAAAACGAGCGGAATTCGCACTTAAAACAAAATCAATATTCGCGCGGTCGATCGACGGTCTATCCCACTTCTGATATTTGTTAAGAACCACTTTTGATGATTGTTAAAAAAAAATAATAACATTAAAACTAAAAGAACAAAGAACTATATTATTAGAATATTTATTAAATAATATATAAGGCAAACACAGTCGCAGTACTCTCCGCTATACGACTGCTACTAAAGGCGAAGTGCAAACCAGCAACCACAATCACTAACAGTGTGAGACTTTATGAGGGTAATAGTAATAATATTAATACCTAGTGTGAATGATCTAATAAACAGTTCGGAGTTAAATAGGAAAAAGGATAAATGATTATAATAGTTAGCAAAAACAAATATACATTTGTGTATAAGTCTGATAACGGTATAAAAATGTTTATAAAAACAATAATTTTATATAGTATATATATAATTTTTTATATACTTATTACTATAGTACGTATAATATACACACAAATATATATTATATATTAGTATATACAATATCAACCCCTCCACTGTATACTATAAAGTAATTACATTATGCAAAAGATAAACTCTAAAGGTTTGAAGACTTTATTGTTATATTTACTTTAGATAATATTGGGTATGATGGACACGTGTACTTAAGATGACCTATGTTAATGAAGGGCAAGTTGACATAGATCATTATTTACATAACATATGTCAAGTTAATATAGGTTAAGATTTGCGCAATATAGTTCAAGTTGAGCTAGATCAAGGCGTGTCTCGCACATGATCCCTATCCCTTCCCCGAACCTACTATGGCGGGGTAAAGTCAAGCCGGGGGCTTGGTCACCATATTAAACTTGTCTACTCGCAGGTTAAGCAATTTAACAATGGTAGGAACAATAATATATAAAAGAAAACAAAAGGGCATTAAAGGATTTTAACTAGGAATTTTTTGTTTTCGTTGTTAATGATACAACGCGTGACATTCTGTAATTTGTACAAAATTGATTTTATATTGTGTCATATATTTATACTATAATTAATATTTCTTTTCTACATTTTGTCAATAAAATAAAACTGAAATTTACACTTGGGTTAAATACTTTATATTCGTTGTGTTTCTGGCTGGAGGGTGTGGGGAAACCAATCATCCCTTTTTTTACTTTACTTGGCAAAAATAAAATTATTTACTTAAATAATTTATTAGAACTTTCCATGTATACTAATTTAAGTATTATCTTAGAAAACGATAAAATCAGAATTAAAATATATTTTATATCATTTAATGGATTTTGAATGTTTTATTTGTTTTTTCATAATTTTATTTTTCAACATTATAGTTAATTAGTAAATATACAATAGTTCATTTATAGAACAGCATAATCATTATAAAAAAATCACGTAGTATTATTATTCATAAGATGAATTACATGAATTATGTGGATATTTTTTTGAACATCTTAGACAGCTACAGTAACGCATAACCACGTATAAAGAACCAATTAAATATGCTGAAATTTTCATTAAAACAGAAATATGTAAATATTTTTACTATTGCTTTTAAATATTAATTTTTTTACTTCCAACAAGAATAGAACACACGAAAGTCATCATCCATTTTGTCGCTAAATTTGATCCAATAGAAGATGCGACTCGTTCATCCATGAAATCTTTTGATGTATCTCTATTATCCCGAAATTTAAAAAAAAGTTCATCAATTGGAGGATGAGAATTGTGATAGTAATAATCGTAGTCACTCCCGTATATATCATTGTTGTACTTATTGTATGTTAACCACATGCTTTCCGGTCCACGAAATTTGACAACTAACATACTATGATATGGTTAAACATTTGACAACGAATATAATTATAGTTCAGTCGTTTAAAGATTTTTTGTGGAATTAAATCATAAAGTTTTGAAACATTGCAAAAAGTTTGGATATAGGCTCTTGATTAACCTAAAAAAAAGTCGTCATCCGAAGGATGGCTACTATCCGAAGTGTCCACCATCTTAGATTTTATGTGTGATTTTTCACGTTTATTAAATTATCTATGAAAATACTAAATTTATCTCAAAAGTACTACTATACAAAAATATAGCTGATAAAATTTTAAACAAATATGGTTCTTAAATGTTTTTTGTAGATTGAATAGATTAAGAGCAAAATTTAACCATGTGTTATAATATCATACGTGCCGCACTATAATACTGTATATAGGCTGTACGAAGGCACTTGTGTCCACGAGAAAACACAATATTTACGTTATATATATATATATATATATATACTAATATAATACAGATAAACATTTTAATTGATATACGCTATATTACAAATAATTTAATTATTATAATCATATATGTAAACTGCACATTATTTGGTAAAATATAAATATTATTTTATAACATGTGGCTGTTTGGTTGACACAACCTTTGTATCTTTTCATTTTTTACGTTTGAATGATGGACCATGTATTGTTTCGTCTTTATCCTCAATTGAGTTATCATCGGACTCATCTAAAAAAATTTACTGTTCACAATTTAAGTATGGAAGGCCAGAACATATTATGCACGCAGCAGAACACTTTAAACCTTGTTTTCTGCAGCCGCATGCTGCTTTACAAATTTTTATACACACACATGTAATTTTTTCTATTATACATTTTGGCGCTGGTTCATTTCATGAAAATATTGGTTCCAGTCCTGGTTGTTTGTCATCCCTAATCTTCTCCATTTTTTTCTTCTCCTTGCCACATTTGAACCTGGTGATATGTTCGATATACAGGGTTCATCCCAAAAGTAATGAGCCTTTGTTCAGAATCACACTTTTATTGCTTATAACGCTACAAGCCATCAAAATTCTTCGAAATACTCTCCTCTCGCGTCAATACACCGCTGGAGGCGGTTTTTCCATGCCTCGAACGCTCCCCGGTAGGCGTCTTCCGTAACTTCTGTCAGGACCTTCGTCACGGCTGCTTGGATGTCTTCGATGGACTGCCAGTGATATCCTTTCAGGGCTGTTTTCATTTTTGGAAATAAAAAGAAGTCCGGGGGAGACAGATCGGGACTGTAGGGAGGCTGAGGAACCACGGTGATGTGCTTTTGGGCCAGGAATTCGTTCACGATGAACGCGGTGTGAGAGGGCGCATTGTCGTGATGGAGCCTCCAGTCTTCCCGAATCGGCCACTTCCTCTCCCTCCGCAGGCGGTGGATCCTAAGCCTCAATCTCTTCAACACAGCCTTGTAGAACACTGCATTCACAGTCTGTCCTGGTGGGACAAACTCGTGGTGCACAATGCCCTGCACCCCAAAGAAGATAATGAGCATGGTCTTTGTTTTCGACTTGCTCATGCGCGCCTTTTTGGGGCGTGGTGACGAGGACGTGTGCCACTCAGAACTTTGTCGCTTCGATTCTGGGTCATACTCAAAACACCACGTTTCGTCACCAGTGATCACGTGGTCCATGAAGTTCGGATCGTCTTCACACAAGTCAAGGAATTCTTGGGATCGGAGCACTCGAATCGCTTTTTGTTCGTCAGTTAATTTTCGTGGCACAAGCTTAGCGCACACCTTGCGCATGGCCAATTCCTCAGTCACTATGCGATGTACTGTTGATTTTGGTAAGTTTAAGGCTTCTGACACTTGGTATACACTGAGCCGACGGTCGGTGTTCAAGCAATCGCGCACACGTTCCACATTGGCGTCTGTCCGCGAAGTTGACGGGCGGCCTGACCTTGGTTCGTCAGCGACGTCCTCTCTGCCCTCCTTGAACGCCTTGTGCCACTTCTTAGTTTGAGAACTGGACAGACAATTATCCGGGAAAGCCGTCTGAAGCATTGAGATTGTCTCAGTAGCGGTTTTCCCCAGCCGAAAATAAAACTTAATTGCGTAACGTTGTTCATCGTTTTTTCCATGACGACGCTTAGAAACTTCCTTCGGGGGAACTCACGTCCTGTCGCTTTCAGAGGTCAGAGTGAAATGAAGCCGGTCTGCAGTAGTTCGTTAGGGTTCCCCCCACTCTTCCTGACCGGTCGTAGCGCGCTGGATTGTTTAGTCGCGTCAGAAAAAGATGAGGCTCATTACTTTTGGGATGAACCCTGTATATGTTGATTTAAAGCTTCTTTTAACGGGGTAATTTTGCCAATTTGAATTTATTTCTATCCGTTTTTCGTGTGAATTCATTATTCATTATAATGAATAACATCGATATTCATTTATATTTGTTTGACTTTGTGATGCGCCATATAATTTTAATGTGTATTTTTCCCCGGCTTAAAAAATGTTTTCAGGTGTGGAGTTCGGGCAGTTAAATACATTTAGTATTTTTTGAAGTTCTGTATATTGGCTGAGAAGTTTGAAATGTTTTAATTTTCCAATATCATAGAAGCATGAAACAGTATCACATCCAATGATACCTTGTAAAAATAAAATAGACATTTTTATACCGTTAATCTTTTGAATATCTTGAATAGAGTATATATTTGTTTTAATTTCCTTCATTTCCTGATTTTAAAAATGCGATATAAAAATACGAAAAGTACGTGCAAGAGCTATTAATAAAAACAGTAAATCGATGTATTGACCAACTACAACAACAGACTGATTTTGTGCCATCTTTAAAGCTTCATTTATAATCAGGGTCGGCTTGGTAATTCGATTTTAAGCATACTGATGAATCTGAATCATTAGTTAAATACATTATTACATTTACATGAAATATATACCCATATGGCCTTATCGTTCAAGCCAAACATACTAAGTATAAAGTTGTAATTGTCCCAACCTACCACATGCAAATGTGATCCGTTAGCTGTAGTTAATGTAACATTATTTAGTGGATAAATAATATGATTACTGAGTAAAAAATTCTTATCTATAATGCTTGTACTCGCTCCTGTATTAACGACGAAAATAATATCTTTTTTATTTATATTGCCCATTATTAGTGGAGAATCGTTAGTTTTAATTGTATTCAAGAATTGATCGTTTAATTCATAACTAGCTATCCTATCATTAATATTGACTTTTTCATTAATTAAAAGTGTGTCAATTTTATTCACTTTTAATTTATAAGAATTGTGCGTGCTGTTAAATACTAATGGTGGTTGAAGAGAAAAATTGTAAGAAATAGAAGGTGGAACGTAATGTTGAATGGCTAACTGATGGGGTGGATTCTCTAAATTAGGATTATTTTGAAGATAATGTGATGATTTTCGTCTACAACCGTAGTTAACGCGCTGATTATTATGAGAAAAGTGCCTAATCATGTTGTTAAACCTATAAAAATGTCCACTATAATTTTTATTATTATAGTTCTTATTTACATTATTTCTAAAATTGTTATTTAATTTGTTCTTTCTATATTTATGAGTTCTATAATTCATTACTCTACGCTGATTATGGTTTGGATATGTCATTAAACTTTGATTACCTACATAACTTATGCTTCCATAATCATTAAATTTAGCATTATGTTTTTTTAAAAGAGAATCTAATTACATTTTCAAAATGCCTGCATCGCTATCGTCGTTTATCATATTTTTATTTCTTTCAATTCTTAAAATATTACAGAATATTATGTTGTTAGATATTAAATGTGTTGTTGATCAAAAAATATCATCGCATTATTTTCAATAAACGTACATTAAACGCCAAAATACCGAGTTAGTTGCCAAAATTTCAAAAATTGCCGACTGAAATGAACTGAATATTATCGGTGGGGGGGTGTTACCCCCCCCCACAACCCCCCCCTAATTCCGGCCCTGATCATCCCATTCATTTGCTTTTGCTACGCGATCGAAATACTTAAGATATTTATCTATATCTGTTTCCACATCTCCCGAATATGATAACGGTTCGATAAAATTTTGCATATTTTTATAAATTATACTTATAAAAAAAAAAAAAAACCAAAATGGTAGAAATTATTATTACGCCCAAACAGCAATTGACATTCAAGAATAAATTATAATATTAATAATAAAAAATTTCTCTTAAATAATCTAACTGTAACCCCCGTGTATACTTTAGGGGAATCGACTTCGTATATGAGTGCCTTAAAAAAAAATAGAAAGTATATCTCAGAACTCGATTAAAATACAAAGACCGGTGCCTCCACCATATGTTAGGGGCCTGTTTAATAGTTGATGATCTTGGTCAAAACCAAAAATCGGAAGCTACCCGACGTTTGCCCAAATATCGTCCCTATTTCCTTAAATGAGTTTTAATTGCCTGAAGGAGACTCAGGCAATCGTGTACCTCAGTTACAGGGGATAGATTATTAAATAAAATTAGACTATTGTTTTATGTCAATGATTGTTTGGGTGAACGTTCAAGTTGGTCATACTGATAGTGTCTCAGCTGGTGATAACACTCCACTCATCGGCCGTTATGGTTTTGTAATTTTTGCTCTATCGCTATCCGTCGCCTTAATACCATTGTTTTTTTAACGTTGTTTTCTCCTCTCGCTCTCGTTGTTAAACTATTGCTTTTCTCATAAGCTAAAACCTTATATCTTTTTTTGTTTTACTACTAAAATTGTTCGTCTGTTGTTAATTCGTAAGCACGATTGTTAGCCTATTTGAACCGGCAACGTAATACAAAACCAAATTTGTATAATATTAATTGGTAATAAGTTCAATAGTTTATTAACTTCGATGCGAAGCGGAGAAGGTATTAATTTTACTATGATGTGTTTTTTTTTTTATGTCTGTTGCCACTTTTTCTCAACTCTCACTGGACCGATTTCTTTCAAAAATACGTCAAAAGATGACAAATCGTATCTAGTTGGAGACATTACCCTTAAAAATTGAAAAAATTTCCCTCGTTCCCCGCAAATGGGGGAAATATCCAAAAAAATTACAAATTTAAAAAACGCAAATTTTCGAAATTTTTTCACTTTTTTTTCTTAAAACTTCCATAACTTTTTCAAAAATAAACAAATCAACATAATTTTTTTTTATACTAAAACCTTGGATATTTCCCTTTCATTTGATATCATTTTTTTGAAAATCTATCACTTAACCTGCTCATTAGGGGGGATTTAAAATAGCAACTTTTTTACAAAAATTAACTTTTTCAACTTAATTTTTGAAAATGTTCCGGAAATACTGCGTCCTTTAAACATATATCAAATTAAAGCTTATTTTATGTACTATAAAATGAAAAAAAAAAAATTTGTCCTGACGACCTATCTTCTATGCGCAAATGGCTACCATATTCAAAAATATGCTATTTTAACAAATTTTTTTTTTTAATTAAAAACTATCTACAGATTTGCATCGAAGCGTTTTTTATGATAGTGATTTTAATCACTGTCAGATATTATCTATACTGGACCCAACTATGCCACGACCCCACTGTGCCGCCACCCCACTGTGCTGGGTTTTATTTATTATTTGTTATTTATATACCTTGTGGTTCGCACATTAGCTTACATTGACCATAGTGCTCAGTGTTATTTGCATTAAAACTTTGGATATATTAACTCTATGCGTGTTTGTAATAATAAAATCATTTTAATTAAAACATTCTCAGGAAACTGTTAATGTGCGAACCACTTGTTTCAGTTGTCCAGTTAGATAAAATCTACAATTTATCTAAGGTAACATTGCAGTTAAATTTTTTTAAGTAATTTAATATTTACTTATAATAGTGTTTTGGCATATATTTGCTCATTGTTGTCACAAATGATTGTACAATCATTCATGTTGTTGTACACAGAAAATCCAGTCCATAAGTCCAATTAATTCTAAACTAATTAAATCGTTGAGCTGCTCACTCAATATTGTATCTTAACTGCCTGTCTATTGTTCAATGAAATTATATGCTTGTTCAGTTATTATTACACTTTATTTTAATCGACCACTGGTCATTGTAAGATTAAGATCAATTCTGTTCTCTTGTTTATTGAACTCTTGTTTTTGTTCTTAAAGTTCTTGTCCAGTTGTTGTTATTGACTCATAATTAGTTAAAAATTCTTTCATCTATTTTGTTTCAATTACCTTTCTTGAACAATTGTACTTCATGTCTCTTGTTTAATTTTTATTAACGTTAATTACATTAGTACATTCTTTGCCCAAACTCTACAAGCTACTTTATTTAATTTGTTATTATAATTGTACAATATAATTCAATCTGAATTTATACTAACTAGTACTTTTTTTTTGTTTATTGTAATTAATTGACTTTGTTCATTGAATCATTTGTTTTTCATTGAACATCCATCCTCTCTATACCTCTATATCACATATACAGTCCACTATCACAATCCATGTATAATAAAGTAACTAACAGAACAAAGGTTACAGGTAAGGTAGTTAATGCACTGGTGTTAGTCAGCCTGCACACTGTACAAAATTTATTTACTTTTTAATTGCATGGTACTTTGACTTAATGATTTTATTGTAGCTTATTTGTTCCTAATCCTCCCTCTCCCTTCACTTTTTGCTCCTTCCTCTACAAACAAATCGGATAATTATAATTAAAAAATCAACTGACCGAACGGCTTTCCTCTTATCGTTAATATTTAAGTCATGTTCCTTACAACGACAAAGTAAAGTTATATTTCAGATGTTCAGTAAATATAAGTTATATGTAATGTACAATACGTCTGACTTGAATTCTAGTACAGTTGTTTAGTAGGTATATCCAAGTGAGACGGAGTTGGTTGGCTATGATGACAATTGGCGATAGACGAGTCGTTGAATAACACAAGTTAAGTTATAAATAATTTAAATAAGACGAAAGTAATAATTGAGAGGTGACGACTTGGGCCACGCAATGGATTGTGGAGTCGCCACCCTCATGGCTCTCTTGCAAAAGGAAATCGGGTCGCCAACCACTTAGGCGAGGGTCTTAATCATAAAAAGAACAACACCCGGCTCTTTACACATTATACGGATTTGACCGTACGGCAAATTAAAAATTAATATTAATAATCAAACTAAATATGCTCAATTAAATCAGTTTTCGTTAGTCCTAACGTTAGTATACTTTAGCTTTAAGAACACTCAAGTCGTGAATTGTTATAATGAACCGTAAACAAATGATTGCAATATGGTTATACAATCGTCGCCGCAAAAGGCAACAGAAAAATCGTATTCTCTGGGTACATCCTATCAATGCTAGGAGAGATGAAGTGGGCTTATTTAATACATTATTTAATGATCTACGAAATGATGAAAATAAGTTTTTTAATTATTTCCGTATGTCAATTGCCTCTTTTGATGTATTACATTGTTATGAATACTTAACTTAGTTTTAATATTGTCCCACAATTGTAATAACAGATAATCATAAATTGAATTGTAATTGAGGTCGGCCTAAAACAATGTGTCTATAAAGTATTTTTCGGTGTTGCAAAACCGGGAAGTGGGCCGACTGCGACGATTGTAATGCAGAGCATCGTCAGTCATTTGACAATTATTGTATGAATACTATCACTTTTATTTTTAATAAACTAATTAATTATTCGGCAATACTATTTTATTTTATTCTATTTGTTACTCTCGTAACAACATGGAAAACTCCAACATACGCTTCAGCGAAAAAACACGCAGTTTAGAAACTGTATACAACCAGTTGAGGTGTTATCGATTACATTGAGGTAAGTAATAATATTAGTGTTATTTTAGTTTATTGATTATACTTAATATAAATTACGATAGAAAGAAAAATTACAAATTAAAAAAACTCGTACCTTTATTATTATATTAAACATTACAGTGTAAGCATTTTAAAAAAACTTGAAAAAAATCTTACTATGTGTTTTTACATGTTAATTTTATAATATTTTTACGTATCATATTATATTTGCTTTAAAAATATGTATAATTAGTTTGTTAAAAATAGTTAGATACTTGAACTAAAGTCGATGCTGTCAGAAATTGAGGATGCTATTGAACTTAGAGACGGGCTATCCTGTTCAAGTTCTGGATGGGTCACATCATGGAGGGTAGTCACTGAAGGTGGTTGCTTACTACATGATGGTATTTGTTGTGGTATGAGTACTTGTTGATTTCCAGATGTATATGGCTGAGATAAGCAAACATTGGACTGGGTAGGAGTGTTGTACAATTGTTTAGGATGATATTGAGTAGAATTTGATGTATTTACATAAAGTGGTTGAGACTGAGGTAAAAATTGTTCATAAGGTGCCAAATTGGATTGTGGAAAAAAATGTTGTTCTTTCTTGCTTTCATTGATATTTTCAATAACCTTTAAAACTCCCATTTGAAATTTTAAGTAGTCTTGATCATTAAAATTTTGTAAATGAGGCATGAGACTTTGTAAAAAGGCCATTTTATTGCAGGGTGGTTGCGGTTCTTCTAATAATTTTAAAATTCTCAAATCAATATCATTCTGGTTTTTATTTTTCCTATTTTTTTGTGAATTTCTCGGTTTTTCTATTAATGACTTAGAAACATCCGAAATATCATCAGAAGCTTGTTGTTCTTGCTCTATACCATCTTCTTCTTCATCTGCTTTATCATTTCTCGGTTCTAAGCTGTTTGAAGTCGGCCTTTTAACATAAAGCTTATGTAAAAACTTCAATTGATCAAAGTACACATATTTTTTAATTTTTTTTGCTCCTGAACCACTTTTCTTACTTTTTTATAGTATTTTGAAAACGAGTCACGAAGATTGGTCCATTTTTTTATAACTTCTTGACCTAAAAAAAAAACATTGTAAAAATTAGACAGGTTTAATATTTATAAACTAGTATTGTACTATGTTTATCTCCTGATAAAAATATAAAATACTTTTTTTTATAGGTATCTTGCAAGTGGTTGTACATTTACTGATTTACATTTCAATTATAGAGTCGGAATTTCAACGGCAAGTAAAATTGTAGAAGAAGTATGTATGGCTATTTGGTGCATAATGAGCGAGGATTTTATTCCAACACCAACGACAGAGATGTGGGAGTCAATTGCTTCTGGATTTGAAAATAGAGCTAATTTTCCGAATTGCATCGGAGCTGTCGATGGAAAACATATCCGTCTTACTTGTCCATTGAACAGTGGGTCAATGTATTTTAACTATAAGGGGTATAATTCTATAGTTTTAATGGCAATAGCAGATTCCAAATATCGATTTGTGTATGTTGATGTTGGAAGTTACGGTAAAGACTGTGATTCATCAATATTTAAGAGGTCCAGTCTGTGGAAGTCAATAGAAAATAATGAGCAACAATTACCCAAGGAAAAATTTTTGCCAGGTATAGACAGTTCAAAAATACCTTACTTCTTCATCGGAGACGAAGCTTTTGGAATACATAAACATTTATTAAGGCCATTTGGTGGAACACATCTAACAGTCGATAAAAGAATATTTAACTATCGACTGTCTAGAGCCAGAAGATATATTGAGTGTTCTTTTGGCATTCTCACAAATAAGTGGCGGATATTTCATAGGCCGATTAATGTACAACCAGACTTTGCTGTCAATATTGTGAATGCTTGTATTGTATTACATAATTTTGTACTTGAGAGAGATGGATATAACGACTTGGACACAATGTCAATAACAGGGTTGTCAGATATTACTCCAGAATTGAACATAAGAGGAGGCCTTACACCAAATAACGTAAGAAGTGCATTATGTAAATATTTTGTTTCTGACGTTGGAAGTTTACCATGGCAAATGTCAAAAATATAAGTTATAAATACCAGCGAATATTATTGATAAATCAATTAATTTTATAAAAGTATCAAGTTAAAAAAAGGTTTTGAAGGTTTCAATGTGTCAGGTTGATTAAATTTTAAAATTTATTAATTTTCTTTTTATAATAATTTCTCGTTTAATAAAATCAATAGAGTATGCAAAAATAAAAATTATATGTAAAAATAAATTTGAATTTAATCTTAAAATAATCTTAAAATTATACACATTATTACTATTAAATTAATAATGTTCCTATTAATTATGTATTACAATTATCAAATACCTATGTTCTATAAAAGTAATATAAATAAAAATCTTGCCTGGAATATTGTAGTTTTTAAATGTATTATTATTTTTTAATTTTTTATTTAATTTATATTTTATAAATAAAATCAATGGAGCCGATCACCTACATTATCTACGACAAATGTCATAGTAGAAAAAATAGGTGGGTGGGTGAGTGGTTGGATTTCGAGGAATATTAATTAATAATTAGTGAAATTTATAATTAGTACTAGTCGTTTTAATTTGATATAAATAACATAATAAAATACTATATGTAAATGGGAATGTAGGTATAGATTACTCTGTATTATTGTCGCTTCGAATTGTATTAATGTAGCTTATCAGCTATCACAAGATATGTCAGTGGCTTCAGATAAATATTATGTAACGGAAAAACAATTATATTTATAAACATTAGGTTCCTATAGGTTATAACCTTACTTACTGGTGCACTTTTCTGAAATTTATGTTATTTAAATAATATTATTTGTCATAGTATTTTTTTTTACACGTCGGCGCCACTGAATAAAATACCTATAGGTATTTAATACTATATTTTTTTAAATAATACTTCATTATTGTAATATTAATTAAAATTTACTTACCGAACAAATTTTTTTCTTTGTCGTCAAGAGCATCAAATTTTGGGTTTAATTCAATTAATATTTCCCGCCAAGCATTTTTTGTAGCATTCCTATCTTTATAGGAATCTAAAAATTTATCCCACAGCACCGGTCTACCTTGGACGAGGGTAATTAAAAATTCCACATCAATTTCTGCCATTATTTAAAAAATTTATAATTATTTTAATGCGCAGGATAGCAGTCGCATGCAAGTTCTACAGTACGAATAAAATCGTATAATGTGAAAACACGCGTTTGGTCACGTAGGCCACTAAGCTTATCGCGTCGTCCGGCTGCCGGATACCGTAGTGGCGGTAAACGGTTGCTACACGGCACGGCGCCGACATTTTGCCGTGGCCGTGTAATGTGAAAGATTATATACTCTTCTTCACTCCACTAAAATAATATCGCCGTACGGTTTTTTGCCGTACGGTCAAAAACGTATAATGTGTAAAGAGCCTAAGTGGATTTAAGAAAAAAAATAATAAGAAAACTAATAATATGCACTTTGATGAAACAAACAAAGTGGATTAAAAAATTATATATATATATATATACTAAAATATAAAGTGTTGTAGACTATAATAGACTATAATACGCTGATACCTTGTAAATATAACAATATGTTTGTTTGATGTCACCAGAGGTCGAAGACCGTTACCTTAAAACTAGAGAGAATTATTTAAAGGAAAAAAAAAATAAGATACACGTCAATATTGAAGATATTCACGCAATAAAAAGATTTTTGTTGATTAAGAAAATTAAGGGGATTTTATTAAATTATTACAATTAAGTTAATAGTGGACAAAACCCGAAGGCAAAAACCACTCTGCAAATAAAGGGACAAAAGAGAAAAAAAAACAATTATTAAGACAAAAAAAAAATTTTAACCTACAACTTTTAAATATTACACATGAAGTGTCTTCCGCATCGGAACAAGTCCGTGTACTCCGGACGCGGCGGATAATTTCTGTAATCTGGCCGGCCGGACCGAACTTGGGCACTGCGGGAATAATATATATATATATGTATTAAATATACATGACACACCACTGACCAATAACCTTATAAACAGCAATGCTAAAATTATATACAGCTCATAACAAAATAAATTTACAACAGAAAAAGGCTCAATACATTATACTAAATAAAAATAAAAAAAAACAATAAGACGATACCCAGTCCCGGATGGGACTCATCCTAAGATGGGGATCTCGGCCCCGGAAATGGCCGACGCCTGGTTAAATCAATACATGATTTTTACACAACGAACACGAAAAAAAACTATTATTGGCTGCACGCACACAGCAAAATATACCACGAGGTTGGTTCAAAGGGAAGAGACCACGAAAAATTCCTACACACCGGGCGAGACACAACGACGGCGACGATTACGTTTGGGAGAGGGTATCGGCTTAACAATTTACAAAATATAAAACTGATAAAAATATGAATAATATTAAAATTATACAGGTATTGACAGTGGTGGCCAGTGTATGTGTCATATAGGGAACGATTATTAAACTGATAAAGAATATTGTGTGTATAGCGTTCACCTTGACAGCAACAGTACAGTTTTCTGATTACACGGCCGGATATAACGTACGCGCGCCCATTAGCAAAGCAAAACAGTAAATCTATCTACATCATAAAATTTATATTTTGTCACGTTACATAATATTGAAAATTATGTCTATAACGGGCACTCAAACACAACTGCCCTTTGTTAGTTCGACGTCAGTAGCTCCGGGCTACAGACGAGTAGAATTGTCACATCAGCATCTCCCTCTATGCTAATTAATGTATTACGAATTAAATAAATAGCAATATAACGTGTTTAATATAAGTGGTAAGAACATAGTAATAAATGTTCTTACACAATGTACAAAGCATTATTTTCAGTTAAGCTTACTTCAACTAAAAATGAGAGTGTTTTCAATTTCAGGAAATGTAGTGAATAAGATAAGGAACCGGCTGTCTGATAAAGCTATAAATGCTCTAGTTTTTCCAAAGGCATATTTTATTAGGCAGAGGAAGCTGACCAAATTGTTACTCACCTTTATGTTCAGCTTTGGATGTTTCATTTATTTCTCAATTTTTTTTCTAATAAACATGCCAAAAATGGTGCTGTGAATTTTAAGTCAGTGTCAGACAAAATATTTTAATTTTTTTTTGTTTTCTTTAATAAACTTTTTTTGTTGTAAACTTTCAATAAAAGTTTTATAATTATTTTGATATTTTTATATATGCAGAAAACCGCTGAATTGGTTAATTAATCACATCATTGGAACTGAAAAAACATGCAAGAATGTACGTTAATGTAAATTTCTCGACAACCCGAGAAATTGATAAGCTCGAGAACTCATGAACCCTAGTTTAAAACTAATTGAAATGTGAATATGCAATAAGTAAAGCAATCATCAACTTTTATATCAAAATCTGTGGTAGTTGATAATTTTTCAGCAGATGAACTAGTAAATGATGTACTGTTTTCGGCAGAATGTTGATTCCCATGGTAAACATGCGATGTTTTCGTAATTTTTTTCTTGTGGGCTTTGCATTTTTACTACCATTTCTATATGATTTTCCCATTTTATCGATACAAAACTACTTTCGTAAAGGCGAATGAATACTAAACACTCGTGTCACAAATAAAAATAATCTGAGTATAAAAGGAAACCGGTATTTTAGAGTAGGGATATACAAACAACAACGTTAACGCGGCATCTGTGTAAATGCAAGGTCGCGTTTTCGCTTTAGCGTCAATTTATAAACATCGAATTTTTTCAAAAATTTTATTTTATGTGATTCTTAAGTATTAAAACTATAAAAAAAAAATCGATTTTTTGAAATTTCTAAAGTATAGTAGTACTATAATTTTAATTTAAATTAACAAAGTAACAAAATTATCGATAGTCTGCTCTTCTTTCCGTTTATGCATTAAAAAACAGTATCTTTTGTTAACTATGTTATTTTTATCCGTACAATGTTGTGTAAACTTCTGTATTATTTTATCATAATCAGTTTCCCCTTTATCATTGGTAATCGTTTCTTTCTTTTCGTGTAATACATGTTCATTCCATCAGATGATATCAATGTCAACAAAATAGCAATCTTCGTTTCATTACTTTTACTTGATTTTTCCGTTTTTAACATATAGTTAGTGAAATGCTAGTACAACGTTTTCCAGTTGGCATCCAAGTTACCTGATACATTCAGTTCCGGAGGTAATTTTCACAAAATTATTAATAAACTATAACAATATGTTTTAGAATAAAGAAGAGTTAAGGGTACAGGGGAACGGTGGTAGTCCATTTTTGTAAATTGTTCAGGAGAGCAAAATCAAAGTTTATAGACTTATACGCATCCAATATTAAACAAAAAATACGCTTTATGAACTATAATTTTATTAAAATGTATTAACTTTGAAAAGTTATTGAAATAAATTGAAAATTGTAATGATTATTAATGAAAAAAAATATATCAAAATAAAAAGCATGGACTTCAATCTTTTTTCACAGGTAAATCTAGTTTATTGTTAACAAGAAAAAAAATACACATTATTTTTCAAGTGATACAAAAACATTAAATTATTTAAACAATTTTCTTTTTTAATTTTCAGCTTCATCCAAAGGAATATTGTTGATATACTCGACTTCACTGTTTTGAATATCTTCATCTGCCTTGAGATTTTCATAGAACTTACGTGTTTCTTCTTTCATTAAAAATTGTTTTAAATTAAGCAAATCTTTATACTTTGCTTTTTTTCTGGCAAATTTCCCCTTATAAAATGGTTTCAATGTTTACCCTTGTGGGATTCTGGCGTGTCTTTTTTCAATTATTATTGAAGATTATAAACAAATAAATAGTTACTGTTAAACACCACTCATATTTGACAATTCAAATTAATTAAACACAACTACTACGTACGAAATTAATTAACAGCTATACGTATATTTCTCACCAAAACGCCATCGTCCAACGACCTCACGCAGGGAGCGTCGCCGAACAACAACAAATGTTCTATACTTAGTAGATAATCTTTGTAGAAGATAAGTGTACGGGACTCTTTACGAAATTCAATCACTATGATAGGTTTTGTTTTGAGGTTACTTTTTTTGGAATAGTGTGATTGCAAGTGCTCCGTCCAGTTTTGGAATATTATATCTTTTTCACAATCAATTACAGTGAAGGGTGAAAGTTTCAAAAAAGGTTAACAAAACCTCTCGCCAATTATCTGGTATTTCGGTGTAGGAGTTACAATTTACCAAGCTCAAATTTCTATCACACTCCAAGTAAGAGTGGCCTCGAATCGGAAAAACTTTTTTTACGAGATCAAAACGATCTTTTTGAGTAACAAGATAATGGAAAAATCTGAAAACTGTAATGTTTTTAATTTGTCTTGCGCAAGTATCGCAGAATATACATAACTGACAAACTTGTACCGGAAGAATTAAAAAATTATGTAGCATGGAGCAAACGTTACTTGCCCCTTTCTTTGCGATAGATTCGTCGTACGTATATGCTTTGTGAAAAATTGTTTTAGCCTCTACTTTTAATATTATCTTAGCTTTGTATATTTTAATTACCTGATTTGGACAATTACTTAATACCTGGGGATACCTTTTATTAATCATTTCCATAAAGCTATTTTTCTCTATTTCAGTATTTACTTTGTTACTTTCTAACATTTTTCTCCAGTTTGGGAATAAGACAAAATGAGAAAATCAGTGACAATAGGCGTGAGTGTGAATGGGAAGGTCGGAAGTTTTAAGTATTTAGGATCAGTAGTGCAAAAGAACGGTGGTATTGACGGGAATGTAAGACACAGGATTAAGTGCGGGTGGTTGAAGTAGAGAGAAGCAATGAGGCTAAAAGGTAAATTCTACACAATGTAGTGAGACCAGCTATGATGTATGTTTCAGAGTGTTGGGCGGTTGATAAGAAAGTAGAGCAGAGAATGAGTGTAGCAGAGATGAAAATGCTTAGTTGGATGAGTGGAGTGACTAGAATAGATAGAATAAGGAACGAGCATATAAGAGGGTGTATAAGTGTAGCGTCAATCGTGGATAAGATGAGAGTAAATAGACTTAGATGATTTAGTCATGTTAGGAGAGAAGAATCGGAAGCTGTAAGAATAGTTATAGAAATTAATGTTGAAGAAAGAAGAGGTGGAGGAAGACCAAAAAAGAGACTAGGGATGTTATTGAATGCGATATGAGGACAGCTGATGTGAGCATAGAAGATGTTTGAGATCGTGTCAAATGGAAGTTTAGGATGAGAGCAGCCAATCCCAAGTAGTTGGAGGTAATCAAGATTACCTCTAGAATCGCAGTCATCATTACCAAACTGTACGGTACGATCTGGTTGGTTTATAGAACGCAAATCAGTGCCAGTAAATCGTTCAGTGCGATAATGGGGCTGATAATTCTTAGAGTTATTACTATCCATTTGGTTATTTGGGTCCCAACCCGTGCTATTCAATAATGGACGTGTTTCCCCCGTTAAGTGACGTACAGTGTTACCGAGTGTCGTCAGCTGTGGATTTAATTCCTGCCTAATCTCATGTTCGGTTTGTGCTAACCTGTCATAAAGAGAAGTTTGCTGACGATCGGTAAATGGTCTGTTCGTATTACGGTTTGGATTGACAGCGTTATCATTAATTGGTGCCGGGTTTACAGGTCTAAACACAGATAATTTAATGGACTGAATGTCTTGCTCAATAGAAGAGATTCTATTGCTAATCTTATTTTGTTCCATTTGAAAACGTGACAGGGCTGTTTCGAAAGCGGTTACTCTCAGTTCGAGATTCCCTAATGCTGTTTGGGTGCGAATATTATCCCTAATAGCACCTATCTATTCATTTGCCGAATACATAGAAGCGTTGATGTCGGGTGCCTGGGTATTCGATACACCAAGGTTGTTTGTGGTAGGGTGTATGATTGTGAATGCACTATACTGATTGTGGGTGTCAGGTGTGGGTGAACTTTGTGAAGATAGTGCATTCATATGTGTGGGTGTGCGATAAGGGGTGAGTGGGCGCAGGTGGTCCTCATAGCCAACACCACCATAGGTTTGGTCTAAAGGATTCACTTGCGCTTCACTATCCCTATTTCGTGCCACCGTGTTATTCTGGGGCACATCTACTATATCAACTGGGTTTAAACTGTGAGTCTCTGATGCTATAATAGAAACATCTGCTGGAATAGGTGGCCGGGGTGGTAGGAGGGTGGTGGCTGGGTTGTTCCCTTCCGCCCTAATTAAAGCCTCAAGAATACAAAGTAGGTCGTTACGGCTAGCGGTGTGAGGAATATTCCTGAAAGCACATTCGCGTTTGATCACGGTGAGAGACATTTTGTCTAATGTTTTTGCCATTTCCGAATTTAGTGTAAATAAAAGTGATGAAAAGAAAGAGTAGAAAAGAAAAAAAGTATTTAAAAATTAAGAGAGAAAAAAAAAACTAAGTGAGTTAGTATGTATTTAATGGAGTGGGTATTGGTTATATTTATATATATCTATATATAAATTCAATACAATCACTATTCCTATTAAAGAAGAAGAAATGTTGAAAGAAAACAACAAAAAACTGAAACTAAAATATTTATTAAATAAACAAGAGGAAAAATAAAAACAGAAAATAATTTTTTGAAAAAGGGGGATGAATGAGAGAGGAAAAAAAAAAGTTTAAATAATGAACAAAATTAAATTTTCTAATAGTACAATGGATATGAGTGGTATTATTAGGTAAAGGGGAAAGAAAAAAAAAACTAAAAATTTTTTTTTAAAGGAAGCAATAGCTGATTTAGACTTGAAAAAGAAAAAAAATTGTGTGTGTATATGTTAAGTATTTATGTGTATGATGTGATTTTTTTTTTTTTAATAAGAATAATGAAATTTGAAGGGCAAAAAAAAAAAGTTTAAGCTAGTGGGTATTGACAATAAATAAATAATATAAATATTTTTATAAATTCAACACTGTCACTATCTTTTGATAACTTTTTTTTTTTTTTAATTTTGATTGTAAACTAAATTTATTTTATCGGAAATGGAGAAAAACTTTTTATTTGACAATCGCTATACGTTGCTGTAGTAATACTTAATCTATTAATTATACTTCTGTTGGCTTTAATTTCTTTTGAGAAAAAAAAAACAATAATATATATAGTAATGTTTAACCACAAAATGTAACTAATCGTACTATGTTAATCGAAAATTAGATGTATTTTTCTATAAAATAT